AAAGATACGATGGTGAAGTTTCGTTTTTTAAATGGAACTATAGATTTTTCTTTGGATCATGCGATAGTGTTTTTCAAGACGAATTCATTAACCTGCAATTTATTCACCCGATTTTTATTAGTTTTCAAGATATAACGCTTGGAAATTTACTGATTTACTGATTTTTGATATATCATTTCAGATATCACTTCTGATACGTATAACCATTACTGCTGGCTACTGCCAGCCACTCGCAGCCTCTGTTGGCCTCTCCTGACCTCCACTGACCACTGCTGACCACTGCTGACCACCATCGATGCTTCCAGCAACGTGTGACGATTACTACATGTTACTGCTTGCCCCTTCTGGCTTCTGTTGGCCCCTGCTGACTCCTGCTGACCACTGCTGGCCACTGCTGGCCTTTGTTAACAACTTCTGACATGATATATATGTATTAAAACATTGTATAATGTAAATCTATAGCAATAAATGATATAATTACAGAGAATTCTATGTGTTCTCATCATTTTTTACCTTTCTTTTCCTCTCCAAATCATTACCTTAGTTATAAGACTCCCTGAAACTCCTTGGTTTCCCTGAACCCACTAGGAAGTCCTGAAACTCAGAACTTTGCTAAAAATTCAGGGTTTCCAAGAATTTTCGGCGTTTCCAAGAAATTCCAGGACTTTCCAGCTGTTTCAGGGCTTTCCAGCTGTTTCAGGGCTTTCCAGCTGTTTCAGGACTTTCCAGCTGGTTCGGGATTCCCAAAATTCCAAGGAGTTTCAGGGCTTTCCAGCTGTTTCAGGACTTTCCAAGGAGTTTCAGGGCTTTCCAGCTGTTTCAGGACTTTCCAGTTGTTTCAGGGCTTTCCAATTGTTTCAGGACTTGTTGAAAAGTTAATTTTTTATTTCGGCAGCAAGTACGAGAGCTGGACACTTTGGGAATCGAATTTTAACCGGAAAAACGGTCTCTTAAAACTAGGGCAATGATTTGGAGAGGAAAAGAAAGGTAAAAATGATGAGAAGACATAGAATTCTGTTAAATTATATATATATAATCTTATACATCGTGTCAGAAGTTGATAACAAAGGTCAGCAGTGGTCAGCAGAGGGATGCAGAGGTGAGTAAGGCACCGTCGGTGGTTTTCTGGCACCTCTGGACCTAGTGACTAACAACCCTTGTGACTAACAGACGATGACGTATCGATGTTTGGCCTATTGGTCATCCAACACGTCTTCTGCGCCGGTAGTTCGTAATCTCCGGTACAAAAGAGGAGTTCAAAGAGGGATGATGCAAGGCGTGTGACATAGATTGGGATAAAATTGTCGTACGTGGATTCCATCGTGTAGACTTGGCCACTCGAACCTGGCTTAAAGCTACGGAATTATAGAATTAGAATCGGTGATCGCGATATCCTTTTATCGTGCGCCACCACTGCCGGCCCCGCCGCCACGGTTCCCCGTTTTTCGAGGGGACGAGGTTTTTTGTTTCCCGACCAGTGAACGAACGAATAGAGAAAAGGAGCGAGGGAAAAAAGCCAGCCACCACACACAGGGAGAGACGAATACCACAGCGGCATCGCTATCGAGAGCAGGGGGGGTGTGGAGCGGGGCTCTGAGAAATAAATCCGCTCATGCTCGACGTACACGCGCCGTTCACTATTACGTACACCCCGTGGGATTTCCATAATTTGAATCGTAATAGTATTCGGGCGCCAATTGCAATCCTCGAATTTATGCAGTCCACCTCCAGCCCAGTTATCTGTCCGCGGCGCCCCTTGAGGGTGAACTCGACGCAAGATCGTATATCGACGGGTGTACGTATGTTTTATCGCGTCGTGATCTTTAAACTCCTTCGTGTCGATATCACTGACAGGGCAAACAAGTCGACGTTGAAGAAAAGTCAGATGCAAGCCAGGCTTCGATGTTGATCGAACCGTTGTTAGAGTAAAATAAATCATATTCTGTTGGATTTCCTAATCGTCTCACGTTGTTACCAAAATCATCTCCAGTGACGATTGTATATATCTGGAGTTTCGCTTTCAGTTTTGGCTTCTTGCGACGCTTCTAGCAAATCATGCTGTATCTCCGCCATTTTGCATTTTATTTGAACAAAAAAAATTGCAAAATGAAATTGAAGTATATTCTAAATAGTCCTCAAAACCTTACAAATATTTATTAATTCTTTATCCTTCGAAATAATTCTTGAAAATCGGCTTAATTTCGGATTTCTACATAGAGGTCCCCCCTTAAGAGGGGGAAAACGCGCCAAGGAGAATCACATGGCCCGCTTCAGCCATTTATTTATTTCAACGTTTCTAACAAATTCTACCATTGATTATTGTTGTTTCAATCAAATCATACGTCCCATTGTAAGGGAGCAATGAAACTCGAATAAACAATGATGACTCCTGATGTGGCCGTTATGCATCGAACGATGCGACGCAGTCAATCGTTCAGAAGGAAGTGTCTTTCCTAGCCTGAGCAAATGTTTATATCCTTGGCGAAAAGTCCCCACGCAGTCCTCTTGACGAAGACTTTTCAAGGGCCTTCGGGGGTGGTTGACAACGGGGCCTGGCGCTCGTCGCCAGGGTCCACTCTCCTACGTGACGCCTTGCCTCTCGTCGTCCCCTTTGTTCGAGGGGAAAGTGTCAGAATTTCCAACACCATAGCCCTACCTTTTCCAATTCTTACAAGTAACCAGAAGATCAAGTTTACATGCTATCTCGGGATTTCTTGAATTCTTGCAAAGCTGAGAACGACGCCACGGGTAATTTTCATGGACGTGTCTTTCCTAGCCTGAGCAAATGTTTATATCCTTGGCGAAAAGTTCCCACTCAGTCCTCTTGACGAAGACTTTTCAAGGGCCTTCGGGGGTGGTTGACAACGGGGCCTGGCGCTCGTCGCCAGGGTCCACTCTCCTACGCGACGCCTTGCCTCTCTTCGTGCCTTTTATTCGAGGGGAAAGTGTCAGAATTTCAAACACCATAGCCCTACCTTTTCCAATTCTTACAAGTAACCAGAAGATCAAGTTTACATGCTATCTCGGGATTTCTTGAATTCTTGCAAAGCTGAGAACGACGCCACGGGTAATTTTCATGGACAAATTCACCGTTGAACGTCGAAGCAACGGAGGACGCGCCCACGCTTTTACATTAATTCATGGAACTCGCGTAGCCGCTTTAAAGGCATAGGCTAAAATCAATATCGCCTCTACTACGGGATAGACTTTTAATCAAGCCAGAAACCGTAATCGCAGCATGGTCCTTTGCTTTTTTTCTCTCCGTACGAAGGGCCGCCTGCGTCATAAGGGATCATTTTTCCAGGAATTCGCGGGCTGGCCATAGCATTTAATATCGGAATTTACGTACATTGGTTGTTACGTGCAAAATGGAAAAGTGCAAGTTCGAGTCCCCTGCTGCATCCACCCGATATGAAAGAATTATCGACGCTGGACCGATGACGATCTGAATGTGGGCCGTGCACCGGTTTAAAATTCCACCTTACCTAGGTACGGATGCATAGTTCGCGACAGGTAGAGGCACGTAAGCTAAGCTGCCCGCGCGTATGCATGGAGACAGGGAGTGCCGTGAAAGCAACCTAGCTCATCGATGCACATAATGAGCCAGTGTCCAGCTAGCAGAACGAGTTAATTAATCCTCCAGAGACGGCTGGGCACATGCTGTACGCGTCGCTCGATAATTACTCGCGCAAGTGCACTCACACTTGCAGTCGTCAAGTTCCTATTCCTCCGCGCTATTTCCTTCGGTGGCGTGCTAACCAACCACCTGCCATGACGATCCACGAACCGGCGAACGAGACGCAAATAGAAAATTGATACTGTACATACATACTGTTATATATACTTTATCGTCATATTGTTCATTGCGATATTTATAAGAGATATTGGAGTCTCTTTCATGATCCGTTTCAGAAGCGTTTCGAGAGTGTAAAATTTTTGAAATATATTCTGCAGAAATGAGACTAGCGGACCATTTATTGCAATTATTGCTTGGGAATTTGAAAAGAAGGTTCGTTTACTTATCACGCGTCATTGTATACGTTTATATTAGAGCGACGAGGAGTATAGCGAGAGAAAAATTCCAATTTCCATTAGACTGTCTACCAACCGATCCCGTATAAGTTACGAGTTAAAGAAAGCGTGACCCATCGATGGTACATGATTTGCACGGCCATCCACGGCAAAACGCCCACGTTTGTCGTGGAATAGTTCGCTATTTTCAACGATAGATGGCGCTAGTTTTCGACCTCAAACCCTCTGGTGCTAAAACGCCCAAGTTTGTCGTGGAATAGTTCGTTTTCTTCAACGCTAGATGGCGCCTACTTACCGACCTCGAGCCCCCTGGTGCTAAAACGCCCAAGTTTGTCGTGGAATAGTTCGCAACACCCACGCTAGATGGATTTCTCGACAAGCTTGGGCGTTTTAGCACCAGAGGGCTCGAGGTCGGAAAATAAGCGCCATCTATCGCTGAAAATAACGAACTATTCCACGACAAACTTGGGAATTTAAAATTGTTTCTTGATATAATCACAGACGAGGTATATGAGGCTTCGTCTGTGCCTGCACGTAACACAGACTCCCTGATAATATTTTAACTATTAAAAAAAATGAAATTTTTGTTTGGTAGGCTTATGAAGGCGCGTTCATGAATCTATATTATTAACATAGTACGTAGAGTCCAAAGAACGAAATGAATTTTAATGTAATTTTAATTTTACGTCGTTAGGAGGGATTCGAGTAAAAGAGTAGAATTGAATTTGTTGAAAGGGGTTGCGAGTGCTCGTCGCGACTCATTATTTATTTAATATTTCGAGTATAAACATCATGTTCACGGTAATTACTTTCATAACGTGTTTTATTATAAGAAAGAAAATTATACATTTTGTACATTTAATAAAATTTAATTTTCCTAAGAAAATATATCGAACCATACACAATTAGTACCTTTTATTTTATGATTTGAGTATGTTCATAATGAAGTAATACAAACGTGACTAGAATAAAATAAAATAATATATGATTAGAGTAAGATTTTAGTTTACTATTGAACTTCTATGACACTGCACTAGCATTTATGTGCAATAAGCTCTATTTATTTCGGGAAAACAGAATTCATTCGGAATAGCTGAATACATTTTGTATTAAAAAATCTCATATACACCGGTGAGTAATATTGGAAAAGGAACTTTGCTATTTCATTCAGAACCTTGTTAAACATATAAAATTCATAACACGTCCTCTAATAACATGCAAGTATTTTTGCAAGTTTAAATTTCATTTATTTGCTTATGATTTTTTTTATATAGCTTTTGCAAGGCACCATTAAGTGTTCATTTAAAATATGTAGACATTAACAATGGCCGCTTATTAGGAGAATCATTGTTTTAGAAATTATTTGATGATAAATTAGGCGACGTCTAAAATCATAATTTCGTTACTGCTAAAATGTTGACTAGTCTTAATGGATTTATGGCCAAACACCATTAATAATAAGTATACTTTAAATGTATTCACGAGACGAGTATATTTTCGTTTCGTTTCGTTGTAAAGATATTCATTAATCTTATTTGGTATAACTGGGCAATGAGTAGTTCTACAAACAAACGCAGCTGTTAAACAAACGTACAAAAGAACGTTAAACATTTATACGCGGTAAACTAGATACAATTGAATCTAATTTTACAACTTGCACCTTGGATGTCAACACTTCCGGTGATTCTACATCATACGAGGACCAATAAGTTATTAATTCTGGGAATCCGTCTTCGCTGAGAGAATCAATTTCAATCGAACTAAAATAAGCACGCGAGTTCACATTCGGTTGACAATCTGTACCCTGACACAACTGAGTGATATCACTTTGACTCGTTTCCATACGTACATCTGTATAATTTACAAAAACTATTAATACCTCCTCTTTTAATCTTCTTTCTGTAATACCAGACACTGTCTTTGTATATTCAGGTATTGAGTCGGCCCATTGCCAAAATTTAATCGCAAAACCAATAGTATAAGGTTCTTCGGGCATGTATAAGAAGGCTGGTTTTGACACAAAAGAATTAGGACAAACATGATCCCATATTGTTACCGACTGGTTCCCAAATTTTTGTAACGTTAAATTTACGCTAGCTTTGCAAAATTCTCCAGGGCATGTCCCTTCGTTCTCTATAGATACGTAATAATACGGTATAGGCCTCCAAGTATAGTTTTCATCATCGAGTTTTGATGTTTTAAAGAAATGAAACGTTGACTTCATTACGAGTTGCTTATGTGTTTCTGATAATTTCATGGTACGAACTGATTCTAGAAAAGTCATAGTTCTGATCACAACTGCAAAGAAATGAAATAATTTATTAAAATTTTTAAGAGTAATGTTGAATTTATTTTTCAATTAGTTTGTAGTACGAAAACGTGATACTTACTTTCCCTATTATTGTCATAGCAGGCATAAGATATAGTATTATTAAAAACAAGGCTGTATATATCTATTGATAAACAATTTCCAGGCGAGTAACGTCCTAAAAGATGACCACTTCTTCCAGATAAAAGAACAAGATTAGACGTGTTTTTTATTGTTACTTCTACACTTAAGAAATCGTTAACTTCGTCTGAATCAATATCCGATAAAATCACAGGTAGTTTATTAAATGTATGGATTTTTGAGCTCCAATGTATAGTGCCTGCAATAGGTTCGATACTAGCCAAGAGGCCTTGATCACCAGCAACTATGCAATCTGGTTTTCCAGATCGATCTGTATCAACTGAAATACAGTCAATTTCAGTGGGTGGTCTTTCTAAACGAACCAGCCACAGCGGCAAACCACTATTTCCTTGCATCGATATAATTCCTCCTCCTTTTGCTGATATTTGTCTTTGATCTTTACTTGTATCATTCCCTTTGTATCGTTGCCCGCGAACGAGAAATATAAGATTCGATGGATTTCCGCGAATAATAGAGATAGGACCATGTAGTTCTAAAAACATTTAAATACTTTTGTTACCAAAATACATGAATCATTAAATATTTTTTATTTAAATTATAGCTAATCAGAGATTACAATATATAATCAATTGTTAAACTTGCATAATTCCTTGCTACCTAACTGACATGCTCACTCCTTGCAAGCTAGCTACCTAGCTCACTCCTTGAAAGCTAGCTGCCATACTCACTCCTTGCGAACTAGCTACACAGCTCACTGCTTGCAAGCTACCTATCTAGCACACTCCTTGCTAGCTAGCTACCTTGCTCACTCCTTGATGGCTATCTACCTAGCTCACTCTTTGCAAACTAGCTACCTAGCACACTCCTTGCTAGCTACCTAGCTCACACCTTGCAAGCTAGCTGCCTAGCGCACTCTATGCTAGCTCGTTAGCTACCTCACTCCTTGCAAGTTAGCTACCCAGCACACTTCTTGCTAGCTAGCTGTCATGCTCATTGCTTGCATGCTAGCTACCTAGCTCACACCTTGCAAGCTAGCTACGTAGCCCACTCCTTGCTAGCTAGATATCTAGCACACTCAATGCTAGCTCGTTATCTAGCTCACTCCTTGTCTGCTAGCTAGCTACCTAGCACACTCTTTGCTAGCTAGCTACCTTGCTCACTCCTTGCTAGCTATCTAACTAGCTCACTCTTTGCAAACTAGCTACCTAGCACACTCCTTGCTAGCTATCTGCCATGCGCATTGCTTGCATGCTAGCTACCTAGCTCACACCTTGCAAGCTAGCTGCCTAGCACACTCTATGCTAGCTCGTTAGCTACCTCACTCCTTGCAAGTTAGCTACCCAGCACACTTCTTGCTAGTTAGCTGTCATGCTCATTGCTTGCATGCTAGCTACCTAGCTCACACCTTGCAAGCTAGGTACGCAGCTAACTCCTTGCTAGCTAGATATCTAGCACACTCAATGCTAGCTCGTTATCTAGCACACTCCTTGCCCGCTAGCTAGCTACCTAGCTTACTCTTTGCCAACTAGATACCTAGCGCACTCCTTGCTATCTAGCTGCCATGCTCGCTCCTTGCTAGCTAGCTGTCATGCTCATTGCTTGCACGTTATTTATTCTTGATATGTAAAAATATATATATGTATATATATTTGTAACTGATTTCCTTTCAATATCTAACAATTTGTGTAATCAATATGCATAATCATTTTTAAAATGAAATACAGTTATCTAAAATAATTTTTCCTGTAACAATCAATATTGTGAATTGAAACTTAATATGCAGAATCGTAATGTTAATAACCTTTTCAAGCATTAAATTTGTATGTTTTGACTTGTCCCATAATTTTAAGACACCTTATACTCGTCTAATTTAATTGTTTTATCCACAATAATATATAACTATTAAATACAACATGTATGTTTTAACAAACTTACCCATTCCTCGCAAAGTCTTATCCCACGATATTGGTGATTGAGGTTCCATAATCGAAGGACATACTACCGAATTGTCACAAGGTAAAACATACAGAAATATAATTATTGTTACAACGCATAACAATATAGAAGTGACTAAACAAAATCGTCGAAGAAGAGACATATCGCGTCGTTTCCATAAGTCATTTTGTTCATTTCCTTCGACTACCATTATAGGTATATCATCTCTGTAATATTTAAGCATATCTTGTCCATTTTTCATTCGATTCGCCACATTTTTTGTTTCGTCTAATGGATAATAGGCTCCATTTTCATGAATTGTTGTTGTCTCCTATAATTTTTTAATTTATAATGTATCATTAACATTTCTTTTTATTTAACAATTATATTTCTTTTATTAATGTAACGCTAATATGATTATGACTATTACCAAAAAAGATGTACACATACGAAACTACCGACTTACTTTTAAATGTCCTTTATCCCGCATTTATTGTTTTATTAATCGTAAATTACTAAAAAGAAGAATTCCTTGCAAGTTCAACTTACTGTTAGCGTATCGTCAGTACGTCCCTTAGGGGCTTCATTTTGTTGAGCCAAACAATCTTCTTCGTCTTCGGTATCCGTGTTGCTTATACTTTGTGGTAAGGGTGTGTAACCCTTTCCACCATGATGATCGGTCGACATGTCAAGTAAAATTTTTCGAAAACACCGCAAATTTCAAAAAACTCAACCGAATGTTTATCTACGTACGTACATATTACTCATTGTCGTAAAATTGTCGACGGCAAAATATCAATAGAGAGTGAATACAGTCAAAATCAAGGTATCGCGTTACGGAATACCAACAATTGTTCAATGTAACTGCACATGCACTGTGCTTGTATGTATATATACATGCAATAATTGTATAATAATAAAAACAGGTAGATGTGTAATTTATAGTATTTCCTATTAATTTGAATGTAAAATTTGTTTACTAAAGATTCAAGTTAAAAAAGTCTTCGTAACGATTTAGGGTACAAGAAATACCTAGAACGTGATAAGTTATCGTTTAGATAAGATTTGTTGCGATTGTTTTGTTCTGTGGTGGAGTTTCCTAAAAGAGGTAATAATATTCTTACAAATTTTTAATGTTATTTTTAATGATTTAGACTTTTCGAAAAATTAAATACTGAAAAATAATAAAGTAGAAAAATAGTATATATACGTTGATATAAAAAGAAATATAAAAAATTACTGAAAAATACGGTATGACAACAAAATACATAGAGTTAAATATATAAGAAAAGATACATAATTAAAGAACAGTAGGGAATTTCTGCAATAGTTGTTTAATAAACATATGAAAATACATATTTAAAGTTTCTATTGTACGTATACTTCCATTAAGTTGGAACCAATATTGTATTGCAAAAGGATTCAAACGGTTCAAATTTGAATAATCAATGTTTAGAATTATTTATATTAATCTCAGGTTTCCATATTTAAAAAAATAAAATATCAATATACCAAAATATAATATTCAGAAGAATTTTCTTTATTTCCTTTTACTACACAAATATATACCATGTATTAGCAATTAAGTCATCTTCAGTTGCAATAATATATTTGTTAATTCGCAAGGTTTTCATCTAAACATATGTACTTTATTGTTTTCTATTAAATAAATATGCATACATTTACCTATTACTGTTCTCTCTCATTTTGTACACACATATAAGTTACTCCAACATTATATTTCCAACATTGAAACATTTCTTATAATATATAAGCATCTGATGATAAAATACAAATATTTAATTTGAAACTACATACATTATATAATTTGTTCATAAATCATATGTGAATTTATTCTACCAAACATATAAAATTTCAATTGGAAACGTAACGTAATCGCACAAAAATACTATTAGTTGTGCCATGTTGACATTTTCGAGACGATCATATAACATACTTTTAAACATTTGCTTACCTCTACGAACAATTGGCACAATTTTAAATAAAACTATGGAATAACTTGGAACGCAATATTTTACGATAACATTTTTCAATATTTTAACAGCAATCAAATATCTTAATTCTTGAAGTAAATCTCAAAAATTGTTTTACTTTTCCATTTTTTATATACGACGAGACAAATAGTTGCGACGAGCTAAGTAAACAAAATTAAAAATGTTACAATAAAAAGTTAACTACCGTGGAAAACAGTTACATTTCCATTTCATAAAGGGTTTAATCATTTCCTTATTTTTTATTAGTAATAAAATGTCTTATAATAAAATTAAAAGCAAGCAGAAGTTACCTTCTTTCATCTTATTATCTTTATAGATTCATGTATACAATGAAAACATAGTAATGTTCAGTGTCATGATGTACAGTAACATCTACCTGTTAAACAGATAAATTTAATCAAATAAAAACACCGTAATTTACTTCTATTTATCACAATGTTGTGTTTTGTTAAATCTGGAATATGTTTTCTCAAAGAGAAAGTTAATTTGGAAATTAATACCGACAAAGAAATGTGAATGTTGACATGACACTGATTATACGAAAAATGTTAAAATTCATTTAGTTGATTTTTGTTAACAACATTAAATAGTACATATTAATATTAAGTAGATTAATAAATACACAATGTGTAAACTATTGACAGTAATCTATGGAAACACTCTCTACGTGAAAATTAATATTATACAATTCATAATACTCTGTCAAAAAATATAGAGGTTTACTGATTCTTTTAAATAAAACTAAATGTTAAATGTTATTTTCTATTTAAAACTATATGAATAAAATAGATTTTATGAAACATTCATTTCTATTATTATGAATCTTAAATGCATAACTCCAGTTTAAAAATATATTGAGATCTGATTAATTTAAGTAAATACATCTGATTTGAAGTGAACACTATGAAATTTATTTTCATTGATAAATTTAATATTATGTTGTAATTTGTTAAAAAAAAAGAAAACGAACATTTATCAATACTTGGAAGTCTTTTTTTTTTTTTTTTTTTATAACGCACAGTACCTTCAACATTCTTTGGTTTAATTGATAGAAAGGAAACGCTTGGTCGAATTTCTATCATCATCACAGTTTAATACAAATTTTTGCTCAATAGAAAATGGACTGTTTGTTACGGAATGCAAAAAAAAATTGCAAATGTTGCATGGCATGTTCCTTAATTTTCTAATTACAAAATAAACTTTACCGTCATAATTTAATTTAACATATAGTTGATTAATATTGTTAATGCTGTTTGTATAAATATACGTTGCACACAATATTCGGACAGATGTTATAAATGACAACAAGCAGTTTTTCCTAACTTTTCCTGCTACTTAAAAGTAAATCCTTATTATTCATCGTTTTATAGATGCTGGGACATCAATCAGATATTTAACAAACCCCTGTTTTGTAGAGAATCCTTTAATGTTTGAAATAACTGTAACTGTTGTTCTGGTTTTAAGGTAAATACCTATATTACATAAAATAGATACATGTACAAAATCAAAGAAAATAATTTTGTACTCTTTTGAGATTTTAGATTAGAATGTCAAAGTATGTAAATAACATGCGATTTTATTTAAAAATTTCTGATGTTTTACCTGTTGTAAAAGTTTTTGAGGTGAAGCAGTTTGAATAAATGAAGAAATATAGACATTTACAAATGTTGCCATTAAATATTGACAATCGAATCTGTCCATTATTCCTCCATGGCCAGGAATAACATCTCCAAAATCCTATATCGATTATATAAAATGAAGCATATTGTTATTTATCATATAAATTGTATACAAAATAGAGAAATTACCTTAATTTTGAAAGCTCTCTTAAAACCACTGGCAAAGAAGCCTCCAAATGGTCCAATTACAGAACTAAATACTGACATTGATAATGAATGGAGTAAAAATGGATACAGAGTTAAAGTAGACTTTCCACTAATCTGTAAAATATAGTATAACATTAAATTCTATATTACATACTTTCATCATACGCGAACAGCATTTCTAAACTTATAAACGTGTTACCATTTTCCATACAAGTTGCAAGCTATTGGGCAAATTATACTCTTGAGGTTGAAATAAGGAGGATGGTTCACAATCCATAGTCATTCGTCCTAAAGCCACGCTATATTCAATAGGGCAGACGAAGTAGCGGTAATGGCACATGACATATGATATCTAAAACGAGTTTTCTCTTAGAATTTTGTGTTTACGAAAGTGCAATTCTATTCGATAATTAATTTAAAAATTAAAACATAACATTACCACTAAGCCAAGTATAACTGTTGAAATACCACCACCTATAAAACCTTCCCAAGTTTTTTTAGGTGACAATTTAATTAAAGGTGTTTTACCAAAGAAGAAACCAAACATATATGCCATTACATCATTTATTACTATCATACTAACTGGAACAATAAACCTAAACCAAAATGAATATATATTAGCATAAAATAATTATTAGAAAATATTAATATATGTAAATAATCGTCATACCAGATCAACCCTTCAAAAATATTTTTGATTATAAGGTAACTTTGTGTTACAACAATAAGTAGAGCGACGTGTGTCCAAGCAAATAGGGAAAATTGCTTCATATAATATTTCTTTACAAGTGATAGTACAAACCATACAAAACCAACAATGTAAAGACAAAATGAAATAAAACGATGGTATGTAACAAGTACACGTAAATATTCCTGTAAAGAAAAGAAGTTCAGCATTTAGAGAAGATTATCTTAACACAAGTAGTCAATATTTATTTTCAAAACTACCAAGTTTTAATAAACTGTTATTATCAAGATAGTGGACTACTGAAAAAATGTTAAAAAAAAAATTGTGGTTTTGATATTTGACTAAAGAAATACCATTTCATAGGTACTAATTTAATAGAAACCTCATAAAGTAGAACTAGAAGCCATATAAAGTATATAAAGATACTTGGAGAGGCTTTGTTCATTGATTTTATGTCAGTACCGCATATAGGTATATTCATACAAATACATATATTTTATAAGTTAATTTAATCATTTAATAATACAATAACATATATTAAAAATTTCTTGTATCGATTTTCTTAGATTAAAACTATGTATATGTACTTACTGTTCGATTAATCACTACGGCAAAATAATCCATTAAATTTTCCCCGTAAAAGAAATAATTTGAAGTGATTAAGAAATACCATGACAAAGATCTAAACCATGGAGAACCATGAATTCTATAGACAGCATATCCGATGTTAATAATTTCTTGAAAACATTTTACTTGTACGATCAGTGTCTGTTAAAAACATAAAATACTTTATAATATTGTTTCATAATTTTTTTGTATATACATACGTATTATGAAATTAATATACAAAACGTACTGTAGCCATCAGTGCTAGTGGTCCGCCATAAATAATAACGAAAAATCCAGCGATCATAAACAAGGTAAATATACTTCTAATTACCCAGTTCTTCCAGCTACAAAACATTAAAAACCTTTTATATTTAGGAATTTAGATAAAAATTTTTAAATTTGTTTTAATACTTTAAACAATTCCTATTGTTAATTTATGCAGATTGTACCGATCGGGTAAGCCAGAGAGAGCTGAATCCAAAATGTGTGGGGTATGATCTGTTCCTTGCTGTAAGCTTTTAACCAAATCATCAACTTCCAATTTTGCATCATCTTCAGACTCAACATCTTCTTTCTATACAACACATTATTGAAATTGTTCATCTGTACAACTATAGTAAATATAATTTTATCTTCACAGAAATCTATATTGTTATACCTTTTAATTAAATAAAATTAACATCATAAATTATACTATTGGATTTATAAGTGTCCAAAATTTTATATAACAATCATATAGAAATTATCATATAGCTATTAATTTTCAGGTATAAGACATATTCTTATAGGAGAATCATCCCAATGTTTTGCAAGCATTTTAACTAGTTTTATCAAAGGTCAAAAGACACACTGATACTGGACCATTATTGAAACTTGGAATATTTACAAAATGTTGCGACAATTCTTTCATAAAGATAGAGTTTAATACCTGAAAATTTCAATAGCAAAAACTGTATGACACAGGATTGTAAAAACATCAAATCTAAAATTATCATTGTTATAAAATATGTCATTATCGTAATAAAGAAGATGAAACACATGTAAACAATGATTTAAATTAATACCAAATCAAATAAGGATGTTATGCATAAGTATTTATACAGCTAATATTTCCTTAATAATGCTATAGGTAGAGGTAATAAATACTTCATGCCAATACTATCAATTAATAAATTAAAATCAATTCATACTATATAAAACTTAATCTTCAATATATTGGCATAAAAAAATATGATAGAATATATATACATGTGTTATTCCTATCTTTATGTTGTAAAAATAATATTAGTAGTATAGCGGCGATCGTAAGGGTATAGTTTAGTATATGTCACAGCCATCATCCAATTTACTTAATGTGAATACTGTGGAAGACAAAGGTCAACTAGTATCTAATTTAATCTAATGATCGAAAATAGACGTCAATTTACTGAAAAAACTTGTTGTTTGGTTGAATAAAGACATCTTAACAATAAAAAATTGTTTATTTACCTTATCGTCACCGATAATTGGCCTTTTCCGAATCTCCGACATTTTTACTTAATGATTTCTGACACTTATATTCGTACGAAAACTTAAAATAAAAAATAGCACTGTGACCACTGATTCGTATGAATTAATTGCATATTTACATGTTTAAGTAGATAATTGAACGGAACGGACGTGACAGACACCTATCATAATTGCGCAACGCAAACTGACAGGTTAGCGCAGGGTATGGATGGTGTAATCATCGTACATGTTCGGTTTATCTCGAGACTTTACGGAAAATCAATGGCAAAAAAAGACTAAATGAAAACTAATGTTTCGTTCACAATACTCTTCAAAAGGTATGTTCACAGTATTTACGTAGCAAGGAAAAGATACCACACAAATGATTATTGTTACACCTAAGATGAGACACTAGAGGTATACAAAATCACGTTGATAGAAATCAAATCCCAAATAGATACATACAAAGTGCTATTTTATGTAGATCTACCATACACTCGTGGCCAGGACATAGCAGACCAATAAGATGATCTGATCATTATGATCATATAGTTATTACATCATTTACCAGGCACGAATTAAGAGGAAAGTTAAGGGGAGCTTATTTATTGCAACATGTGACATTACGCTTAACGTCTTAACTGTGCCGGTATATTTTTAAAATGTCCCGGACATTCTGCATTTGTTTCATATAAATTCCACAATGTTAATTATTTAAACATCCAGTTTAAATCCCTGTCTCACCCGTAACTGAGACGTGCGGGTGCTCACCAAAATTGGTTCCTAATGTTTCTTTAACGTTGGATTCGGTTGGATGGATTATTATTTTCGCCATCGACGGGTCGCGCGTCGCGCGTGCGCAAAAAAGATGGCAGATCGACAACATTGTTTCAAAGATCAACAGATCACGGTGATTTGGTCACCTTGCATGGCATAAATTAATATTCTCGTCAATATTAAAAACTAAAAATTAAAAGATACTGATAATATTTTGTAAAGTTATTAAAAATTATTTCACAATTAAAATTAAGGCGAACAAATGTTAGTATTTGGGGCAAATTGTCATCGAGAAATATAAACATCAACAACACAATATGACATTACCCGGTATTGGAGTATTTGGTACAGGAAGTATTGTCAGGATTATTATTCCTTTCCTGAGGGAAAAGGGCTTTAGAATTGAAGCTATTTGGGGACGTACATTAGCAGAAGTAACAGAAGTTGCAACTGATCTTGAAATACCATTTCACACTAGCCGAGTAGATGATGTACTCCTTAGGAAAGATGTTGATTTGATTTTCATTATGTGCTCTCCTAGTTTGCATGCACAAATTGCAGTAAAAGCGTTAGGAATAGGAAAACATGTTGTGTGTGACAAACCTGCTGGTTTGAGCCAAAGCGAAGCATTAAAAATGGTTCGAGCTGCACAATATTATCCTTCCCTGATAAGTATTGTCAATCACAGCTTAAGATTCCTACCTGCATTTGTCCATATGAGAAAAGCTCTAGAGGAAGGATATTTGAACGGTCTGGTAACTGTAATCGAAGTTAGAGTACATATGGGTAGTTTATTACATAATGGTTAGTATTTTTCAATCGTTTTAAGATTATTCCAATATATAATTTTAAATATTTTTACAGGATACGACTGGTTGTGCGATGATACAATGGGAGGAGGAATTTTAGCATTAGTAGGAAGTCATGTAATAGACTTGATTTTTCATTTAATGGGCCAACGTGCATCAAGAGTGCATGCAGTAGTTCGTACTTTCACTCAAACTACAAGCCATATAAATGGAATAAGACACGTTACTTCACCAGATTTTTGTAGCTTTCAAATGGAATTGAGTAGCGGTACTTTGGTAACAGCAACTTTAAGCAATCATTTACAAGGTCAGCTTTCCCAAGAGGTATTAATATGCGGAGGCGGTAATCATCTCCTAGCGCGCGGTGGAGATTTGTATGGTTATCGCAAAGGGCAAGAAGAAATGTTATACCATGACACAGATGATCTACAAGACGTATCATTTCCTATTACCGAATCTATTCCAAGACCATACGTCAAAGGGCTAAGAAATATGATCGCTGCACTGAGAGAAGCATTTCAATCTGTTGAAGATAAAAAAGGTTGGATAAAAGAGCCAGTATTTTCAGCATCAACTTTCGAAGATGGTTTGTATGTACAAGCTGTTATTGATGCATTGCGACAAAGTAACAAACGACGAGAATGGGTGAAAGTTAATATTTTAACAGAAGAACCAGACCCAAATCCTTTATTGAGTGCAGCTGTTAGAGCTACAGCTATATCAATATAAAGTACATACAATGTAAAGATTGTTTTTATACTAAATGATAATGACACGTTAACGTAAAACATGTAATTATTAATCACAAATCTTATCAACAAGGCAGCTCTAAATATAAATTAATATGTACGTTAAGTTTAGATCTCAACTTTTTATTTCACTTCATACACAAAAGATACACGGATTATATTGTAAATATGTATACTACGCTTGAGAAAGTTTTTTTTATATGTTTTCATTCATGTAGGAGATAGTATTTGTAATGGTATAATGTTATCTAATATTGATATTAACAACAAACTAGATAAATCATGATAATAATGTATAAGTTAATGAAAGTATTTATTTATACGTTTGCTTAGTCTGAGCAATATAAAATAAATTTTATTGTAAATAAATATGTAAATTGTAAATTGTTTACCCTTCAAGATCGCCTGACCTTACATTTCTTGATTTTGATTTGCGTATGGCTCATATAACGACTCCTTCATTCAATTTCGAAACTATTTTCAAAGCAGGACTTATTAGTTATTTGCTTTAGTTCCATATATTTTCGTTTTAACGTATCCGGATCAGCTAAAAATAATTGCCAAAGCACGTCCTTTTCTCGTTCAAAACTTACGTCGTTCTTCTGCAAAAAGGGATTCTAATTATTATATAAAAAATAATATTTTCTGTTTGTATATATGTTACGTTTGTTTCAATTTACCAAAAGCTCTTTCATTTGATTTCTTGCTTTCGTTAAATCTGCTTGTACCTTTTGTAAATTATCAAATGCTTTATTGTAACACGTTTCAACTTCATAGGAAACTGGTTTAAGAGTGCACGTTGTTGCCGTTTGTGTTCCGTTTGCGTTTAGATTCATTTCATTTTCCCTAAATTATAGCACTTTAATACTTACGATATTCACGCGAGAATGTATTTTCGTTATGAAAAAAGTAAAACTTACGATGTTTCTAATTTATGAATTTTGGCATTTAAGTATGTTTTGAATATAAATTCTTTCTTGATTTTATTTTCATCTACAAGTTCATTGTATCTATTTAACGCAGAATTTAATTCAGGCGTATTGTCGCCATTGTATATCATAGAAACTAACAGATTGTTAAATGAATTGTGTGTTTTTGATGAAGATGACATGACTGTAGAATAGTCATGCTGTTGTTGCTGCATACTTTCCTACAAAAAAGAAATACAATTATGTTGTAAATAATAACTTAAGCAATTAATGAATAGTGCTTTTTATGTTTCATTACTGACACATCTTGTAGAAGACAGTAAATACTCTGTTGTTAGATAGTGGCAAGCATCAGCTACAAATTCGGAAATGATTTTAAGTCGGTGATATTGCATTTGCATTAACATATTTAACAAATCAACGCGCACGTGTCCACATTCACGGGCGAGAAATCGAAAATTTTCAAGCTTTTCTAAACAAACACTTTTTTGTTTCAATTTCAATTGAGCGTTTTGTTTCAAAATTTTTATTATTTCTAATTCCGCAAATTGTTGTACAACTTCTATCAATTGGTGGTCTTGCAACAGAATAACATTTTCTTTTAAGTAATCTCTCTTCCTGGTTAATTCTGAAATTTCTGCCCTAATTTTAATATAAAACAAAAAAATATTTATACAATAGCTTCACATAAACAATTCGTTGTATATAAATAATGTTTAAATACCTCATTTGAGAATGTCTTGGCACTTTTACATTTCCCAAATTGTATATATCTTGCACATACTGTAACATTGCATTGTTTGATTCTTGTTGTGTTTTAGCTGTAATTTCTTCCATCTTTGCATTAGTAATGCTATAAAATTAAGTACAAACTGTTGTAAATTATTGTATATAATACATGTCCCACTTAATTATAATTATAAAAAATTAAATACTATGTTTTGCACTGCATCAATTCTTGTAATTTTTCATTATCTATATGTTTCTCTTTACTCTCGTTAACAAGAGAAACATAATCAGAATCTTTCTCCTGATCTCCATTATTTACATTCCCAAATTGCCGTTTTTCGTGAACATCTAAATAGTGCTTATATAGTTCTACCTTCTTAATGAAAAGTTCCAATGGCATTTGGGTCCATAGTATTGGTATTCCTTTCTATGAATAAAAATATTTATATTGTCACAAATTGAAGAAATTTACTTGAAATTACCCACATTTTCAGCTGCATCTCCATATACGCTTAATAGACATTCAATTTCTTTAAAAAACTGACGATTATTTGAATCAAACTCTTGAAGAATTATTGAACAATCATCATAAGCTTTATCTGCTTCAATATGTTTTTTATCCAATAATGCTTTTTCTTTCTCAATATCTTCATCCAATTTAGTCTTTAATTTTCTACAAAAACATTCCATTCGTTAATAATAATGACAAATAAATGTAAATAAATATATACAGAAGAATTTACTTTAAGTTTTGAATTCCATTTTTTAATGTATGAATGTAATTTTCATCTTCCTTATATGCATGTTTAATTGTTTTGAATTCTAGAAACAAGTCACTTATATCCATGTCGTCAAAAGAAATGATTTTTAATAAATCAGGGCAATCCCTAGTAGCTTCTTCCAATGCATTATCTAATTCAGGTCCTTCCAACCATTCGTTTGTTTCTTGTAATTTCTTTTTTCTAAGATATCAACAGATAAAATATTAATTTAATATTCCTAAAGTGCTCAAATAATTATTTATCGATACGTGATAAATAAACGTATATTACATTTGTGCTTCCTCGTTTGAAATAACGTTCGTGCGATTCACATTTTTGCAGAACCACTCTAAAAATGGTTGCACCAAAGGTTCGTTACAGATTTCATCTAATATCTCCGGTGTAATAGCATTCGAAATCTCAGGACGTAAACTTCGAATTTTATTGTAAAGAATATTACCCGAGATGTTCATGTTTTGATAGAAACTTTCAAACTTAGGAGTGTACACAACATGTACCGGTATTAACAGCTGGGATTGAAAAAATTCTGAAATACGTGTCGCCATCTAATATCAGGGATTCGTACTGCTAAAATCGTGCCAGGATCACAGAATGATATAGGAGGTATCCGGAGTACAGGTTCCCCCCACTCCTGGCACTCCTGTTACGCAGCACCTTGATTATTCACTAATTACTCCTTTCCTGGAATTAAAATATGAACTTTTAGAATTGAAGAATACAGTATAGACCCTTGACAACATTCAAGGATACCTGTTCTAACCATGCCATGCGTTATTAAATAGTTATTAACCGATATCGGAAGTCTGCATACTGTTCCTAACCTTTGAACGCGACACTATAGGGATCTATCGCTAATAACTAATTAATTAGAACAAGGAGCGTAGCAAAATCGGTCCTTGAATGTTGCCAAGGGTCTATACTATATTCTTCAATTCTAAAAGTTCATATTTTAATTCCAGGAAAGGAGTAATTAGCGAATAATCAAGACACTGCGTAACCTCCTATAACATTCTGTGATCCTGGCACGATTTTAGCAGTACGAATCCCTGATATTAGATGGCGACACTATTTTACGGTACTTTTTAGCGCAATATTTAAACACCCATCGAGGAGGGGTTAAGAGAGTAGGAAGGAGGGGAATAATTTATAAACGTAAGGAATGTTTTACACATTCATAACTTTATTAAATAAAAACATCCCTCGAAATCTTGATAGCACGTTTTATAAATAAATTAAATTGATGAATAATATGTCTTTATATTTTTATGATTAAAATTGCTCCTCCACATACTCCCGCAATATTCCATTTTAAATAGCAGTATAAAAACTAATTCTAATATAAAATTAAATGAATAAATAACAATTTTTCTTAGTTACGATCTATGTACAAATTTAAAATCAAAACTTCTTTTATTCTTCGTCCATCGATTCTTTAATTCTTTTTAAAAATAATCAATCTTTGGGTATTGATTCTTTTGAACGGTATCGCCTAATGCTATTATGCTATTCGACCATTCCTAATTATTTGTGTAATTTAAAATCATTCAAATATGTTTGTGTGTTGATATCATCATCATTGTAACAAACTCACAGATTCAATCAAAACAATCTTTTTTTATAGATATAAAATATATAAAAAATACAAAAATTTTACTTTTCTGTTTTGATATCTCGTTTGTAACTTGAGACACCGATTGGTCGTGTGTCAGAAATAACACAGGCTCCTTCTGTTCAAGCAGATACAGAAAGCAATACCTTTGCCTCTGCTTGAAAAACAAAATTTATTCTAGCTCGGAGAACGTTATTATATTATATTATTCAATTATTTGATCTTTAACAATCTTTCTCATGCTATCTGTGACACGAAACATCGGTCCATGCCCAGGTATTATAAAATCTGCCAAATTTATAACAGAAGCTCTCATATTCGATTGAGTCTTCTGTAATTCTTCAGTTCCTAGGTCTTTCCAAATTGATGGATCTAAAATGTCTTCTTCCTTTTCAAACAAATCTCCTGTAAAATTTGTAAAAATATATGTAGATTAATTTATTTAAAGCACTTGGAACATTAATATATTTATAAAATAAACACCTGTTATAGCAAAATGTGTAGATTTTCCAGAAACTATACTCTCAACCCATACTGTAACATCATCTGATGTATGGCCAGGAGTGGTTACAACTTTAACTTCTGGGCACAGTTTATATTCTCCTATACACAGAATAATTGTAATTTTTATGTGTTATATAATGAAAAGTAATTATGGCTATCAATATATTACATAAAAAATACTTCACCGCATGCCAAATCTGTTGTAAAAAACATGTCGCCACGATTGACACAGATTCCAATTATATGTTCTGCATTCATAAAAAGATTGTTGTTTCCTATATGATCCGGATGACTGTGGCTACAAACGACATAATCAATTTCCTCGGGTGTAATATTATGTTGAACAAGCGCTGAAAATGAATAATTGTTGGAATAATTTCTATAAAGGAATTGCAAACGTTATTAAAATGATACCTTGTATTATTTTCTCGCGGTCCCAAGCCGTCATAGTATCAACGATAATATTTTTCGATGCTTTTATTAATGTACAAGAACAATTTGCTTTCATTGTTCCGTCCGGAAGTTTCGTGGAATATCCATCGAATAATACGATAACTTCGCACATTGTTCGGGGTCGAGGTTAAAAGTAAGAAACTGGAAAAGTCTAATGATTACAATTTGTTCATGACTTTATATTGCACAATGTATATTTTATATTAATAAAATAATATCTGTTTAACTTGTCACAAAACAATTACGTAAATAAGTTTTAAAATCGATAAGCGTTAATTTTAGTAGGGATGAATGATTCTACTTGATTCTTTCAGAATTGATCGATTCTTTTTTGAAGAAGAATACGTATAGATACGAGCTATTAAAGGAGCTAATTTAGTAATTATCAATAAAGGGGTAATTGCTGAATTAATACATGATTTAAAATACTTTGCAATTGTGTTTCATTTAATGAAAACAAAACTTCAAAAATATTTCTCTTGCACGATAACTGTTTAAAACTACGTATATACAGATATAAAAGTAAACATTGCATATCAAATTCTTAATTAAATAATAACGAATTGTTTTCGATCCTGGGCGCTGAATAACACAGGAACGGCCCTGAATGTTCTTTTATAAGATCTTTAAATATTGGCATTTAATTACTTTTAATGTATAAATATAAAACATCTAAAAGAAAGCCAATTTTGAATTATTAATGAATTTAAAAAATTTAGAAAATAAGTTTTGATAAATGATTCTTAGAGCCCATTCTTTTTGCTAATATTATGAATTTAGTAAATAATTCGTTCATAAATTTACTAACAGTTCTTAAATTGTTTTGAAAAATGTCCTTTTTGGAATTGTATCACTTTTTTGTCTTATTCTTTATTAATTGTTGATTATTACAACTACAATTTTAGTAAAAAATCTACGTCAACTTTACATATTTGTTATTTAATGTTATTTAATTATACAATGCTTGTTAGAAATCATGGAATTTATTAATACTTCTTATATGAAATAATTTTTACTTATGGAACAATATACATTTATTTTTGCGTATATGTAATTACTTGACTTTCGTATTCGATGGCATAACATTTATGAATGTTGAGAAAACGATAGTACATGTGGACGTGTTAACCTTACTCGATATTTGTCAAATTCTTTTGTGAGCGCAGAAAGAATTTTAATTTTATAAAAAGTCAAGATATATATATAAAGGTAAATAATAATTAGTTTCTTTCAATAGCACAGGTTAATATTTATAAGAAGAACGAATCCAATCTTTATATTTTTGTATGGTCCTGTAAAATATGCGTGATTATAAACAGAAATTTTATTTCTAAAAATGAATACGTTATACTTACACGTATCCTCATATTAATGCTTTCCTGAAGTACTTCAGACTCTCATAAGTATTTGTTATGAGAGATTTAAAGCATAGATCTGAGAACACATGAGCAAAACATAAAACTGATCAGATAAAATATAAATATATACTTCTTATGAAAATGTTTTGTCTATTTCAGATTGTTTAAACGTATTGTGAATAATTTTTATTAGTGGATATAGCATTAAAACAGATGTAATAATTTATTTTCTGATAAAAATTTGTGTAATCGACTGTTTAAATTGATGTTTTATGTATCGTTCATATTTTCTAAGGTCCACCTGTTTAATAAATTCAACATACCATATGGACCATATTAATTGTACATAAAATTGTATAATGTTATAATTTAATCAAAATATGGTAACTTGAACTTCTTTGTAGGGTATCATAGTAATGGAATTTATGTCATATTTATTGTGCATATATGTCTAAATGGATATTGAATACATTAGTCAAGCAATGCTTTCGGACTCCATATCAGTTTCATAACACCACAATGACTTCTTTGCTGGTTCCTCCGGAATCAGTACGAGGAATGACATGTTTGGATCGTACAGCATTCACAACTACTATAAAATTACCATTTTTAAAGTTTCACCATGTTAAAATTTCAAAAATAACACCAATATTGAAAAAATATTTGTTTAAAATAAGAAACTTCAAACCAATTCAAAAAGAAAATAACGAAGTTATTGCTTATTTGAATCCGCTATTGATAAAAAATTTTGAAGACTTCTCAGAAAATGACAGACAGCAGCTATCAGGATTATATGAATATTTTGGAATAATGGATTTCAGTTTGAAGTATGATAATTGGTTAGTTAACGATATATTGAAAGCTATTTTGCCCAAAGGGATTGAAGTTCCAACTTCGTACAGTTTAGTAGGTCATATTGTGCATTTAAATTTGCGTGATATGCATTTACCATACAAGACTATTATTGGACAGGTTTTTCTCGATATAATTTCAAATGCTCGAACAGTTGTGAATAAGACAAATACTATTGATACAACATTTAGACAATTTACTATGGAAATCCTTGCAGGCGATAAGAATACTGTTACAGTGGCAAAAGAAAATGGTTGTACGTATGAGTTTGACTTTTCTCAAGTTTACTGGAATCCTCGATTAGGTACAGAACATTTAAATTTGATAAAACTTATGGAACATAATGATATTTTGTATGATGTATTTGCTGGAGTTGGGCCATTTGCTATTCCTGCTGCGCGTAAGGGAATGAAAGTATTTGCAAATGATTTAAATCCTGCATCTTATAAATGGCTTCAGAAAAATGCTGTCGCTAATAAAGTTAAAAGTAATTTGAAATTTTTTAACATGGATGGCAGAGAGTTTATAAAAAGCATTATTAAAGATGATATTTTAAATAGACGAATTAATAATAAAGATGGTTCTGAACATATAGTAATGAATTTACCAAATTCTGCCGTTGAATTTTTGGATGTGTTTCTTGAATGTTTTAACGAAGATGAAGTAAAAACAGTGTGTTGTCAACCACCAATTGTACATCTATACTGCTTTGTAAAAACGAACAAAAAAGAAGATGCTTGTAGACATGGACAATTGTTAGTGGAAGAAAACCTAGGTCGTGCATTGAATAATTCTTTGATTAATTTACACAATGTTAGAACTGTTTCTCCATCTAAAGAAATGATTCGTGTGTCGTTTCTATTAACAGAGGATATTTTAAAAGGCGAGGAGCCAGCAACGAAGAAATTGAAAGTGGAAATCAATAAAAATATTTCTGTACGCGATAACATTGCAGAAAATAATGAGGAGGAACAGGGGATCGCAAAAAAACCAGAAGAACAAGAATGTATTCAAAGTAGCAACAGTTCGTAGTGTTAAGTTAAAGGCAAAAGCACAAAAAGTGGTGAGCAATTTGAAAAAAGTAAGCAAATTCTTACAAACAGTGTATTAATAATAATGTGTTTACAATTAATGAGTGTATAAGCTCGATTAATAGTACAATGGCTAATAAAAGTATTCAAATGCTTTTGAACTAAATATTTTGTACTTGGAACAATGAAGTTGCATTATGTTTTTCAAAATACTTGTAACCGTGTAGGGTGATCGGTTAAAATATTACGATCGAAAAATATTTTGAAAATAATGCATTAAAAAATTTAATTCGAAAGTGTTTAAATACTTTCATGTGAACATGTTGCAATTTCTTATGAAACTCTCCTTGATTTCAATAGTTGGATCTAAAAACGATCAAAGACTGCAAGGATGAAATATCAGCTAAAAACAATAATAAAACAAAATCAGCTCAACTAGATCGGCAGCTTCAAGAAATACAAAAAGCAATACATTGGTCTAAATTGAAGACAAAAGTTCAAAATATAAAGCATGGAAAAAAGAAGAAAGAGCACAGTAGACAGATACAGATGGATGTAACAACATCCTTGGTTGAACAAATGCAAATTTAATAAATACTTAAGATAGTATATAAGCCAGTTAATATATGATTAACATTTATAAATGAAAATATTTAGTAATATTGATTTACTTCATGGGATGTAACTAAAAAGCTATTGTAAGCTCTATTCTATGTAAATTTCCTTTGAATAGATCTTGTTACATAAAATAAATCTAATTAAAGATACAATGTTTCACGGAGTCACTTCTTATCACCTAACTTTTATCTTAATTACTTATCTAAGTACAGTTAAGTGCTTAAAAATAAAATTCTATTTATTCAATGATAACCGCTACATACATTATTGCTCTTGATAATCAGTAGAAACTTCTAAACAGAGAAGCCTTACAGTATATTGTACAATAAAAAGTATGTTTAAAAATTATAGGTAAATTTAATCATATTATTATTTATCTAATTTTATTTTAATTCATTTAGGAAAAGTATTAACGATGGAGGTCCATACTGCAGGCTTGGTTGTAATAGGAGATGAAATTTTACGTGGACAAATCATTGATACAAACACATCCTACTTGGCAAAACGTTTGCGAGATTCTGGTATCAAACTCCAGAAAGTAACAGTTATTCCTGATATTGTGCGTATTAATTTATTATTATCTGCATATAAAATAATAAAATTAACACGTTGACAAGTATAATTATAAATATTACGTTTAAACATTTTATTTGTTAAAAAAGATTCGATCTTGGTAACATATGAATATAAATTTCATATGGTTCCATTGAAATTAATATTTAAATTCTCACTACACATAATGTAGCCTTTTGTGTTAGGTAGATGAAATTGCAAAGACTGTATGCGATGCTTCCAAAGAGGTTTCTGTTGTATTTACATCTGGTGGTGTTGGTCCCACTCATGATGATGTAACGTATGAAGGTGTGGCTAAAGGTTTAGGATTAATACTTGAACCGCACGAAGAATTAGTAGATCTTCTCACAAATCTCTTTCCCAATGAAAAAGAAGCTCAACGTCTTGCCATTGTACCAAGACCCTGTGAACTTATTTATATTCCTTCACAAAGTAAGTGAATTACTAAATACATTTTCAAAATACTCTTATTCAAGGAAAGAGTATATGTTTATTAAAAGTAATATTTTTCAGAAAAATATGCAGTTATAAAAGCAAAGAATGTATTTGTATTACCAGGCTCTCCAAAATATTTCGAGCCTGCTGTTGATGCAATAGCAGCACAATTAAAAGGATCTAGTCATTTACACTTTGAGTATATAGATATTAATTTAAACGAATTATCTATCGTGAAAATTTTGGACGAACACGCGGAACGTTGGAAAAATAAAGTCAGTATTGGTAGTTATCCTCAAACAATGTCTTGTCTAACAAGAATTACATTAGAGGGAAAGAAAGAAGACGTTTTAGAATTGAAGGGAGAACTTTTATATTCTTTGCCAATTCAAAAAATACGAAATCTAGAGAATGGGTTTACCAATTACCATGCAAGGGCTGTTTTAAAAGATGCTGATGAGCAACCACATGTAAAAGAAGCTTTGAACGTTTTACAAGAATGTTACGACACGTAAGTTTAGCCACAAGAAAACGATATAATACTTCTCATAATTATTAGACCAATTAATCGGTATTTTCGGTATTACATTTATAGATATAAACCGGAAGATATTTTTATAAGTTTCAATGGTGGAAAGGATTGCACACTGGTTTTACATCTGGCTATCACTGTTGCGAAATTACGAAATATTTCATCGTTATTGTGTCTGTACGTAACATCAGATCCATTTCCAGAGGTAATATCAAATGAACAATTTTTCAGTTCAATACATGCACATACATTTTAAAGAACCGTTATCTAAGTTTTACATGACGTTCAAATATCTCTTTAGGTGGATTCTTTTGTGGAGAGAGCTGTGCAGTATTATGGCGTAGAATTAGTGAGAAAGAAAAGTCCTCTGCAGTCGGCATTAAAATTGTTCTTGGAAGAAAGAAAGAACTTGAAGTTCAGCCTTATGGGAGTGAGGAAGGGTGATCCTGGTTCAGAAAATTTAAAGCCTTTCACACCAACCGATCCAAGCTGGCCAAATCTAATTCGTATAAATCCTATTTTAAATTGGACGTACGATCAAGTGTGGACGTTTTTATTAAAGCACAACGTACCGTATTGTCCCTTATACGACGAAGGGTATACAAGTTTAGGAACGAAATCAACTACAGTACCAAATCCGCGATTAAAGGATCCTAATAATCCGTCGTCCTATTTGCCAGCTTACACTTTAACCGACATGTCTGCCGAGAGACAAGGCAGAGTAAAATAATAATTATATTCAATTTATTTATATATAATGAAAAATATAAGGTGCGATATTTTGCAGTATTTACAGGTTCCATGCAGTTTGAAAACGCTTATTACATCTTATCTAGATCTATATATTAAAAAGACAACGTATTATATGTTACCGCGTTAAAGACCCGTATTATTAAGAATGAATAATCCACACCAAATTGATTAAGTGTTAAACGTTCACGCTTATAGTTATTTTATTTTGTTGTAGTAAAAAATGTAATTATAGAAATATCAAGATAATAAAGATATGTTCAGTAATTTAAAATATCGTTCCTTAGTGAAATACATTGAAGAGTAAAACCTCGATTACCGTTGCATATTAAAAATATTACGACACAAAGTTAAAGAGTCTCAAATTCGAAAAAAATGTTCTACCCTTACCGGAATCGGAACATCGACTGATGATCTGCGTGACTAACTCCTATGACTTTGACGCACGTTCCTGCTGACCAAGAGCAACTAGGGGATGATCCCTGGCTAATCCCTGTATGAAGCCACCAAAGCTAATGGATTAGGGTTTCGTCGGTTCAAGGGAGTAGAACGGTATAAAATAGCTGGCTAACCAACCGTATCAAGGAGAGGGGCTGGCAATCGGAGCGACCAACATGTCCAACGAGAGTATTCATTGGGAGGCAAGATACCTACCAGCAGGGCCACCACGTTTGCTGGGATGGAACGTTCCTGCCGAAGAAATAATTCACATACCGGAACATTGGCTGGTCTTTCCCGAGCCGAACCCCTCCCTTCATTATTTATTGGCTCTCTTGTACATTCTTTTTACATTCCTCGCTTTACTCGGAAATGGCTTGGTGATATGGATCTTTTGCGCGTAAGTCATCTCTCACGATAAATTCATTATTGTTCAGCAGTGTGAATCAGTAATCCTAACGAACGTACTAATTTATTTACCGTTTCTTTTTGTCGTAAGTGCCAAAACATTGAGGACACCCTCGAACATGTTCGTCGTGAATCTGGCGATTTGCGATTTCTTTATGATGATCAAGGCACCCATCTTTATATACAACTCCATTAACACTGGTTTCGCTTTGGGCCACCTCGGATGCCAAATATTCGCGTTCATCGGTTCCTTGACTGGCATTGGCGCTGCAATTACGAATGCGGCAATAGCGTATGATAGATATAGGTATGAAATTTTACTCATTTACTAAACACTCAACTTATTTAAACAAATTAATAAAATAGTACAATTTTGCATACAAATGTTTAGTTCAAAAATTCCAGACTTATGGTGCTTGACTCAATAATTGATTGACCAAACATTGTTTGAGAGATCATGGAGAGAGTTCAGTTCAATGTTTTATAACGTCGTTAATATTATTAGTTTTGAAATGAACTGAAATTAGTAACGTACTTATTGATAATATATTTTCGTTTCAGTACAATAGCAAGACCTCTCGATGGTAAACTGTCTCGCGGACAGGTGATACTTTTCATAGTGTTAATCTGGACCTATACCATACCATGGGGTCTGATGCCCGTGATGGGAGTTTGGGGACGTTTCGTGCCCGAGGGCTTTCTTACCAGCTGCTCCTTCGATTATCTGACCGATTCGAACGAAATACGTATATTCGTCGCTACCATATTCACTTTTTCATACGCCATACCTATGATGCTTATAATTTATTACTACAGCCAGATCGTCAGCCACGTCGTGAATCACGAAAAAGCGTTGCGCGAACAGGCAAAGAAGATGAACGTCGACAGTTTAAGGAGTAACACGAACACGAACGCTCAAAGCGCCGAGATTCGTATAGCAAAGGTACACGATAAAATAATCCTTCCTTCAAAGATAATATTTCTATGTTCTCGCAGTTTTTTAATTAGACATAATAATTAACATCTCTTCTGTGACGTAAAAATAGTATGGGTTTCTAAAGAGGATGAGAGTAACAGCGTTAAAGAAGTTTCACTGTTACGTAATTGTGTTACGTAGTTATCGATGATTATTAAGTTAACATTCTTCATTGTAATTTAGTCTCAATGTGCCCCGCAAAGAATAAAAAAAAGAAACGCGATAACAGTTACTTTTTCAATGCTTTTTATACAAAGCGATGTACAATGTGCTTTTGTTCGAAGGCTGCCATCACAATTTGCTTCCTGTTCATACTCTCGTGGACCCCTTATGGTGTGATGGCAATGATAGGCGCATTTGGTAATAAAGCACTTTTAACGCCTGGCGTCACGATGATACCAGCGTGTACATGTAAAGCCGTTGCTTGTTTGGATCCATACGTATACGCTATAAGTCATCCAAAGTACAGGTAAGCTTGAATATGAAAATAGAATGTAAAAATTATCAGAACGGTATAACGTGCATTGTTTGCTACAGGTTGGAGCTACAGAAACGATTACCGTGGCTGGAATTACAGGAGAAACCAATATCGGACTCGCAAAGTACCACAACCGAAACCGTAAATACACCACCGGCCTCGAGCTAAACTCTAAATGAAATTGTACTTTCTCGAAAAAACGAACGATAGCAACGTATTTGGTATTCGTACGACACTTTGTTTTCACTCTGTTAAAAATATGCGATCCTTGTATAGCAACTGCAATAAAGCAATTTCCTTGGCATATACGCGTTTTCTCGATTTTCCTTAATGTTGCCGCGCGTGCGTTATTTATAGCATAGGGAAGAATTATAAATAGTGACGTTGTTGTTGGACGGGCGAGGAATGTTGTTAATAAAAGAATACTCTCGTAAGGAACAAAAACTGGCAAATTACAACTTTATTCACTTATGCGTACTACTTGTCTTATAGTTACGATTCTAGGCCTCAGAAGTTCGAAAATAAAATGAAATATACGCGGAATCGGTTGACTAAATCTGATTAAGCTAGAGCGCTTGAAACCTTTCGATATCGTGATAAAGAATCTTTTTTTGTACAATTGCATCGCGTAGTTGAAAAATTGATTGTGTGTATCGAACAATCGTCGCGTTTGTTCGTTTTCAAATACGTTGGATATTTTAATTTTGAAGGCGTAGACGAGAATCGTTGTCCGACGAACGATATTTTGTTCGCAAAACGCAAAAATGAGAAACGACAATGAATCGGTGCCGTTCGAAATTTGTTTGTAGCACCTTAAATATTTGATAAAAATGATATCGTGCGCTTTATTTTTATGTACCTTTATTGTATAATTATCGTCGTTACGCGCCGGTTCTCAGACTTGTTTCGTTAAATCAACCGTAACAGGTAATATATCGGAAAGTTCGAAACATAAATTTAGTATGAAAAAAATGTCTTTTCTTTTTTCCTGCCGTTCAGACGAAACGAACCGTGCAATCGTTCAAGCTTCTTCATCGTTATTCTTATAATCTGGTTGACTCGTTCAATGCCATACGTATATCTACGTCGCGGCTCTCTTTGTACTATGTCACTGCTAAGTGTGCTAAATATACATATAATTACAATAATAAATAATAAATCACGTTCTGTACACTTTTCTAGGAACTTTCTACTTTCAACTATGTTAATTCACAGAAGACATTGATTTACTCCAGAAACTTCCAAGCGATTACGAGATATCGAGATCCAACTTTGAATAACAGGTACGAAAAAATTATAACGCTTAGAGGGGTGAGAACGTACGCCCGAAGCCGAGTACGAGTATCTCATGTGTAATAAATATAACGCGGTAACAATATGAAACAATCAATGTATATCTCACGTATGCGAGGACCATTCTGAACATTCTTTATAAAAAACAATACATCATGAATATTATAACGCGTGGGCGAAATAAAGTTTGTAAATTAATATATCTTCGTACAGTGTGGCATTTTGAAAGGTCGAACGAAACGATTCGAATGTTTGAAAGAATAAGATATTGGAAAATAGAGCCGTTCAAAAAATGTTACCAATCTTCAGAATAGTCCTACTCTCCCCACTCGTATACACATCGAAAACAATTATAAATATATTAAAAAATACTCGAGGCGTGAACTTTAGACCACCAGCATAACAATGATCCCCAAGTAGATATATCCACGGGGAATAACCATTTTTTTCTTTGTTTTTCGTTAACTTGCAACTGTACAGTTATTCGTTTCTTTACGTCTACTATAACAATGAATAGAAATGCCATTAGAGATATGTATTTTACCGATGATTCGTCTAAAAATGTAAAGAGAGAACGTCTCTGTCGCGCGTTGATCGAAATTGCAGCAAGACTCGGAGAGAGTTGAAAAAATAAATAAAAATAAAAATACAACGATCGCCATAATTCGGAGCAAAAAAGGGACGACCGAATATTTGAGCACGCGTTGTAAAAATTATACACGTCGTTAAGGTATGCGCATTAAAGTCTCCCTGACGGGCCATCTCGGCGAAGACAATCGATTCGAATTATTATTATTCATCGTTAAAACAGCGGTGTAAAATTTTCATTGGAAAACATGATCGTTCTGCCCCGGCTAGAAATCGGATACCTGGATATAATACAGACGACATTTGCGCTCTTGCTATTCTACGTGAGCATGTTAACACTTTTCACTTTTGATTTAACATCTAAAACATGCGCAAAGTACACTTCTTTAACTCTTAATATCGTATATTATTACGAACGACCGAATTTAACCGAATGGTCGTGCACGTAAGCGTTTCTGGTTCGCGAAGAACTGTTCCATTGCGACGTTTGCGTTACAAAGTACGATTCGCACAGAGAAACGTGATCGAGTAGGCGACTTTCCGGTAGTAAAATTACGTATGATATAAACAAACGGAGAGAATCAGGTGAATTCGATTTTAAACTCAACGGACGCAGAGCCGATTCGCTTATTTAATTCCACCATTTACCGTTGAACTAAATTTTATTAAAAAATTTTATTTTATGGAGAAATTTCGTCCGAGTATTTTAGAATTTGCATCAGAGTCGTAATTGTTGAGCGTACGGATTTTCTTTCTTTTTCGAAAAATTTTTCGCGTTATGGTCGGAAGAATACAAAATTGGGTAAAAAGTCTGACGTTCAACCAATACAAGAAATCGAAAAGTAAAAATAAAGTCCGTATGCTTGACGACAGTGACACTGATGTAGATTATAAAACATATTTATTGTTTGATTCTGTATGGTTTATTTTTAAACAAAATTTTCCAAAGTTATCTTATTTTTTTGGCTTGTCATCCTGGTAGCTCAATCCTTAAGGGATTACAACTTGAACAATGATATTCCAGACCCAACACCATACAATTCCGAAGAAAATTTAAGATCGAAACTCCGTAAAGGGCAGTTATCGCGTCGCGGAAAGAAGCTACTACCAAGTAGCTACGAAGAATGCCCTTGAAAGATGTGCACGATGCAAGAGGACTCTGTATTTTCGTCCATATATATTAATATTATTACTAGTCATTAGTTAACGAGATACGAAATCGTTAGAATAGTAAATAATCTTTTATAAAAATTCTGAATTCTATTCACGGGTATTCTTTTCAGCCTTCCAGCGTATTCGTTCACGTTTCCCCGAGCCACTTCCGTTTTGATTTCGAGGAGACAGTCCGGGCCTCGTCTATCTAATGCCTCCTATTACAACGATATTATCTAATTGTACTAAGACACTCAGCAGATGAACGAACACTCGGTGTCGTTTCGAGGGACATTGCGATGTCGAATTTGAAAGCGGGCGGGCTTCTTACGAAACGATGACGATCCCTCGATTATTTATAAACCGTTCGCGTGATTGTATTTGCTATGCGATTTAATGCACACGCGTTTCGCGACACGCAAAGCTATTCTAGTTAAACAAGATCAGGCGAGGGGGAGGAAGTTAACAGGGCCGTGTGTGACTAGAGTTACAATTTAGTTATACGAAATGCTTTTTTTCTCAACGAACGAGGAAAAAAAGCATATTGCCTAAAGATTTATTTGCTCTTATCGTTATTGTTATCCTTATCATTATCGTTTTGTATTGTTCTCGTGTTTCTTGTCTGTTGATCACGGTATTTTCGAGCATGTCCGTCAAGATCCGTTTCCTCGGTTTTTATTCCTTCGTTACTCTCGCGTACCGACGTCTTTAACCCCCCGTATCATCTAGTTCGATTTGTTCCTCTTCAACGCTAGTTTTTTAACCGTAATAATATCTTCTAAATTTGTGTACACGCTTCGGAATTTACGGGCTCTTCTCGAAAATATGTATTTCTTCGCATTATATATTACTCGGATTAATTTCTATTTATTTTAATAATCGAACATACGTCACTCTCTTAAAATTATAAACGTTTTCGTCGTTCTCTTGTATTTACAGGCTGAACCGATAACGTTTTGCCTAGCGTCATTGTTCCATTCGAATGGAGATGCACGGCCCTGCGAAGACGTACAGAGGCTGAAACGGTGTTTCGAAACGAGAAACATCGATACGGTGATCACGAAGTGGATTTTTTTTTTTTTTTTATCTACATATGCGGCATAGAAAGTGGACGCTACACAGAGAAAGGGTTACGCTACGACGAGAAATGATGTTCCTGAGGAAGACAATTGGTGTCGGTGCCTTTGTAACCGTGACTGTTCGTTTTTGCCTTTCGTTTCTCCTCGGTGCCCGATTTTTTCACTTTGTACGGACGTAACGAGCATATGAGCATCGTTTGGCCGTCCTTCGAGGACCCTTCTATCCTCGACTTCAATCTCTTCCGTTCTTCCTTGTTCTTGTTCTCCGTCGTTGTCTCCTCTTGCGCGTGGCTCTCTTCTGGAAAGACACGAACGGATTACTTTCCAATCAGCGGACCAAACGATCCCGTGTGACGAATCTAAAGATAGGCGAACCAAGTACCTTCAAGGACGTCGTCGAATATCGACCTGCTGTTCTTTTCATCGGTCTGATCAGTTTCGTCCTCTCTCTCGACGTTATTGTTCGTACGGAAAATCGACTCGAGGACCTGTCTGGAGAGCAACGGCGAAACAGGTTGCTGTTTCGCCCTCGTACCGTCCACGTTCGTGAATATGCTGCACGTGCTCGTCTCGTTGTCGCACATGCTTATCGTGGATGCGTTGTCGGTGATCAGCTTCTCCGTGTCCGAATCACCGGCGTTGCTGTAGTAATTATTGCTGCTCTCGGACTTCTTCAGTATCGACTTCGAGACCCGGTGTCTGTCTATGAAAGGCACACCCTCGCTGTCTATGGAATCGGCAGACAGGGATAGCTTGCTCTCGGTGCTCGTTCCTGAAATTTGCCTTCGATGACCTGCATATACAGTGCTTCGGAGTACTGCGTTTGACCCAGAATATAAGAGAAATCGATATGGAAGGTGAATTGACAGGCAGACGTGACTCGAATAGTTTTCAAAGCCACTAAACAACGCGTTACAGTCGAGGATTCGATATGTTACGCGAAATGTACTGCGGAAATTATGAAAATTAGGTTCTGAAGACAGTTGTAACATCACAGACGAGGTACACGAGTAGACCCCACATCCAATGTATCAGATTTTCGGTCAAGAATTTTTTTCTCGAAACTGCGTAGGATTTCGGGGGTATATCCCCCCCACAAAAAAATGATTGTAATTGACCCCCGCAATATAAAATAATTTTTCCAGAACGATTTGAAATTTAATTTTTCCCCGAAAAATTTCACACCTTCTCGAATTTTTTTCTAGAAAGTGGGTAGGATTTCGGGGGTATATCTATTCACCAAAAATGATTATAATTGACCCCCGCAATATAAAATAATTTTTCCAGAACGATTTGAAATTTAATTTTTCCCCGAAAAATTTCACACCTTCTCGAATTTTTTTCTAGAAAGTGGGTAGGATTTCGGGGGTATGTGTATTCACCAAAAATGATTGTAATTGACCAACGCAACTAAAATAATTTTTCCAGAACGATTTGAAATTTTTTTTTTCCCTGAAAAATTTCACACCTTCTCGAATTTTTTTCTAGAAAGTGGGTAGGATTTCGGGGGTATATCTATTCACCAAAAATGATTATAATTGACCCCCGCAACTAAAAATAATTTTTCCAGAACGATTTGAAATTTTTTTTTCCCCCGAAAAATTTCAGCTCCTACCCCCTAAAATCACCTTTGAATTTTTTGGTTATTATAGTAATTAGATTAGGCCACGAAAGTCTGTAAGGTATAAAAGGTCTATTGGTATACCTTTTCTATGGCGATATGTTAGATTCTGGCTCATGGTGGTCCCTGTGACTCTTTTTTTCCGGAAGATAAAAAAGGAAAGGAAAGGGGAGCGTTTTGTCCCGAGCCTGCTAGTGGACTCATCCTAGCTACTGATATTGGAATATTAATACAACTATTGATAATTTGATGAAATTACTATGCCAAATTAGATGCATTTACCCTATCGTTAGTGTAGGGAAGGGTCTAAGTTTCCGTGTTCTTCGAGGAAACGATTGTTTTAGGAATAACGACAGTCACCCACCTGTGTAGTGCCTAGGCCCGCAGCCGGACCCAAACAGATGATGATTTAGGATTCTGGTGGCTGAAGCCAAGCTGCTGTTGGTCGTTGCGAACGGTCTGCCCCCGCGGAGCCCTCCGTAATAATTGTTGTTCTCCGCGATGTCCTCTTTCGTGAGATTACGACCCCCTATGCTTTCCTGGTCGCTGATAAATTGCGTGCGCAGTCTCACGCTCTGCAATCAGCCGCGCGGTATAAACAATACGCGAACATCTCTTTCGTTAACACACGCAACAAATGCACACATTACCATTTCTCCTCGAGAAATCAACAGAAGCGACGTATAGGATTCCCGCGGTGGTAAACAAAGAGAGAAAAGAAGAAAAGAAAAAAATACACTCACAGGGACGCTCTACGAGTCCTTTCTGATCCAGAATGAAGAAAATCGGACGATCACGAGCAAACATGACAAGCTTTCTCTTTTAGTGGGTACGATGGGTGATTATGTTCGTAAAAACTGTACGAGCCTTTTCAGTTTATTGGATAATATCGTAAGAAAAATAGACGTTTTTTTAATCGCTTAATGCGAACGTTGTTTTAACACGAGGTTCGAGTTACCAGCACACCCCTGCTGGATAATTATTCTTAATTGCCGAATGATGCGTATAGTTTTCGTGTATGTACAGATTGGGGTGAAAGGAGTTCGTCGAGTGGATAATGCACGCGATTAGGATGGCGGACAAGCGGGGTCAGTGTCGATGAACGTGGAGCGTTATTGAAGCGTTAGTGTTCGTGACGCAAAATCAACGATACCGGAAATCGTTCGCCGACACGTGTACGGCAAGTCAGTCACGCTGCAACTGTGGCCTTTTAATCAAGAGAAAGGACGGCCCCCGGGTAATCTGCTAGGACAAACGAGCCCTCTCTGTACTTTCTGTCTTTTCTTTGCTCACGGTTGCGTGCAAGATCGTGTGTGTGCAACCCCCTTCTGGCAAGCACCGGGACATTCGGTAATAGTACGTATCGCCGTCGGCGATTTGTTCAACTGTACTCCGTTTGCGATCTTGACGGTTCGTGAAACTGAAAAAAGCAGTGATGATCCGCCGTCAGAGCTCGTGCAATTAAAACTGTACTCCTGATTAGCGCAGAAAACGTATTAAGTGGCGAGAGACGGAACAAGCTTTGCGTGCGTGGAGGAATGTTCGATAGGTGACGTCTAAAAGAAAAGAATGATTTCTGTACCGTTCTCTGAAAGAATGTCTGAAATATTTTACGAGACAAGCGTGAAATTTTATTATCCTCGCGAATAATGGATCGTTTTATATGCAAAGTGCGTTACTTATTCGCATTAATTAACACCATCCTTCGTCGCCTTAATTAGTACCGTTTATCATGGCTGGCTTAACGGAGACTATTTATCACGACCACCGCAGCTCCAAGAATTATGTCCGCAATTTTTATCTGCGCTACTAGTATACGAAAAACCGGTGAAACTTGCGTTAGCCAATGGAATGAAAAAGGAAACTATTTTTTAAACTTTCGAACGTATTTCAAGCGAATGTAAGTTAAGCATCGATTCGTCAAAGGAATTATACTGCGGAGATCCGAGAAAGTGCAAAAGAATTTCGTACAGCGTGATTCGTGAATTCCAATGACCTAAAAAGCTGTCGAGCAACGAAACACGGGTGTTTCGTGTCGGTTATCGCGCGTTGCAGAAATGTAGAAGATAATGAAAGCGTTTTTAAAGCAAAGTCACGATAACTTAAGAAAAATCGTGCGTTCGCTGTTTCGGGTCTCAGTATCGATGCCTTGTAAACGTTCCTGTTACCTGAACGCAGGGTTGGATGCCACGGATAGTGACAAAGGAACATAATATTAAATATTCATCATGCATGTTCAGGGTCCAGGCACCACGTGTTCGAAAAAATAAAAAAATTAAACACTTTAAGGACTTTTGATAGTAATGTAAGAAAGACCACGTTTACATAGCCTATGGTATCTGCAAAGTGCATCAAAATAGTTTAATAAAAAATTGCATCGAACGGTGGAATAAAAATTATAAAGTTTCAGAGACGTAGCTTTTTCCAGTTGCGTGGGGACACCCTGTACGATTCGCGAGAGAAAGGCGGGAAGAATGAAATTTAAAAAATTCTTATTTGCGACTATAGTCACCGATGGGATACAACGAGCGTGCAACGATGGTCGACTATAGTCACCGTTAGTGTTTAAAGGGTTAAAAACGTCCTCGTATTCCAACGGATGGATGGAACAGCGTTTATTTTCACACGGACACCCGTGCAAAGGTTGACGATCGTAAAGGGCATCGGCAAAGAACGAGGCAAGTAGACCCACCTGCTGGATACGAATTTTCCTATGCTTGGGCACCGCGTCGTTTAGGATAACTTTACTACCCTCGTCGAACGGTCGTACGTCCTTCAGCGACTCGACGCTCGGCGACGCACCTCCACGGTTCACCTCGCCGGAAACGGATTTCTTTACCCTATTTCCGCACTTCTCCGCAGCTTCCAGGGGGTTCACGTAGAGATTATTAGTGTCCGTCTCTTCGGTGAGATCGCCCTGCGAAGTATCGCAATTAAATTACGCCGGTTGATCGCCGGATACTGGGCCTTAACAGCCAAGATACCCTATCATCCCCTATAAGATCGAATCAAATCAGGCTATTAACCCTTCAGCTGCGATACGTGTATTTATACGCTCTGAGAAAGTAGTAATTTGTTTGCGAAGGACGTGCACCGGGTGTCCCGGAATCAACGATAGGCAACCAAGGAGACCATTCTTCGTGGAAAAAATAAATCGTAAATCTCCCGAAAAAATTAATTTTAAAAATGTACAAAATCACAAAATCGTATGTCCGATCTCCTTGTTTGTTTCATATTCTTTTTCAGTACAGGAAAATTATATGAAATATCAAAGAATGGAGATACTATTTTTACACGCAATTAGCTTAAATGCAATTACTTTAATACACTACTGTAATTACGTATGATTAATGTTCCTTCTTACGCAAGCTCTAAATTCTATACATATTTCCTACGACTTTTCATCGCGACGTTCACTGTTACGGACTTGTTTCTTTTGGGAAATATGTTGAAGCGATTGTATGAGAGACAGAAAGCGCAAAGAAGAAGTAAAAATAGTGGCAAACGTTTAAATGTACCAAATATCGACGAAACTAATTAAACAAAAAGTAAGAGAAGGTACGCCGTTCCCAGATTATTTTCTTCCAAAAATTATACGCGTTCGTACTCTGCACCACATGCACACTTTCGTGAAATCAAATGGATCCTAAGACTAGGGCTACGGATCTTTTAAACTAAAACAGTTTCTAAACTAAACTTAATTCTATAAGGAGCATATCTTGAATCCTCTTCTCTGACAAAAGGATCGAGCGACATTCGTGGTACCGATTTGGATCAATTTTTGCATACGCAACGGGTAGTGTATGTCGTGTATAAACACCTGCTAAAACATACTGTGCATTGTTATACCCGGTGTGCACTAACCTTGTATTAAATTGAATCCTAATCCTACGAGGATGTGGCTTTGGAGCAGATACCAAGTTTGAGTCACTGTAGAGCTTGTAATATACAGAAATCAATCCTCGATCTTTTAACACTCAAAATAAAATTTAACTTACAGAGCCTACAGTTATTCAAATTTGTCACCCCAAATGACATTCCAGTAGGATTAGGGTCAAAACAGATCTGTAACACCAACGCAGCCTAATCCCTTCGTTAGATCGCCTAACACGAAATTTCACGATGCTACGTTTACTATTGCACAGAAGATATGTCTCCGTCTAAACGACTAACATCAGAACACCCCGACAATTAATCAACTACTCATCGTGCGACGATAGGTATCGAAACAAAAATTCCGTTTCGTCGGAAGATTCTTTTTACGACTTTTAATTAAACACAGATATTGTACCTTATTGTTATCCGCCGTATGGCCAGCAGAAGAAACCTATAATAATTATTATTCGTTCTCGCCATTCGTTTCGAAAATAATTTTCTATGAAATTATCGATGAAGGAAGAGAGTTGCATTACAACGGAAAAGAAAACGTTCAGCACAGAAAGTTATGATTAATCTGTACGTACTGAATCGATACCCGTACGGCGATAATTAAAATAACGCTTTGTGCAAAGTATGCAAATAAATCTAGTCACATTGCATTGTGCGTGATAAAGAACGATGTTCGAAAATGGACATTTTTGCTGTTCTGAAAAGACACACGTTTCTATAATTTGTAAGATTAATTTCATGCTTCGTAATAAGGATTCTACGCGGAACGATTTGGGCAAAGTCGTCACATCGTTTCGGATACAATTTTGGGACTTAAAAACAGCGACTAGGCACGTTCGAGCTAAATATAACTAAATTGGTAATTTTAAAAATAGAGCAAGAGTGTCCCCGCAACATTAAAATAAAGAAAACATACAACGACACGGAAGACTCGAGATCTATTAATACATTGTAACACGGGAGAAGATATATTATCAAAATATGCCATCCAAAAATAACAGAAATGGAAATAAAAAGAAATTAATGTCAATGGTGCAATTTTTGACGAAAAAAGGAGCTTTCTAACACCTTAAAAATAAAAATGTTTTTTTATAATTAGAAAATTATCATTTGGCGGTTACGAAGGGAGCCTCGATCTATTCCCTTTCAACCTACTTTCGCTACTAACTCCGGTAATTTTGGAGACATACGTAATTATGGTTATCAATTCGTGCCATCGGAATAATCGTGAAGCAATTATCAAAAAGGTTCGCGTAGCTGTGATTGCGGGTTCAAATCTCGTTTACCCGAATACACTACTCCCTTCTTTCTAATTGTACCCATTTACAATTGCATTAGCGATATGCACGGAACATAAAAACACGCGACGCCGCAAACACACAGAACGAATGCCTCCTTGCTGCAGCCGCGTTGTGGTTTACGTTTCTTTTGGGAAAAATCGACTCAATTTACGTTACTAATATTTTTCACGTAGCAGCAGTCTCTAATCTACCGTTCGGCGAAAGTGGGTTAAAATCGTGAGGGGGAATAGGTTGAGAGGTGCTCTCGTTAACCTCTTGGGGTACCTCCACTCTGCAATTAGATCAGAAACAGAACCATCGTCCGAACCAGCCGAGGATAAATCACATTAATTAGACGAGCACTCGATCTAACACGACTTTCACGCGTGTTTGTTTCAACTTTTCGTGTTCCGATCATATAAAATTAGGGGATTGTCGAGTGATAAAAGCTTTTATCAATTTTTCTTTTCCCATAAATGGCTATTTTCGAACATCGAGATAAAATGAAGAAACGATAAGGGAGCAACGTTGGATCTACCGTTCAGGATACTCTGGGAATTGGAAACTAACCGGTAAGTTCGCTAGATTCGCGGAGTATCGATTCCGTGCAGTACCTGCGATTGAGATGGATGCGTTTGACAACTGGCATAGGTGTCGGAGCTATCCACGCTGCCCTGCTCGTTGTACGGTCTCCCGTAGCTCAAGATCTCTAGGGCCTGGCCCGGGGACGTCTTCGCCTCGGTGAAGATCGACTGCACCGGCTGCTCTATCGACATCCCCGATCGCATCGATCTCATTTCCTGGCAGATGGGGTTACGAAAGTCGCTGGTCGCCAACGGCATTATATTTTCCGCGTCTCTGAAGTCTTTGTATTCCTAGAAACACGACCGACGTGAAAAGTCTCGGTTTGTCGAAGACGATTCGCCGTTCGAAGCGTCGCCTTCGACACGAATCTGATCCTAAACAAAAATCCTCGACGAACGGGCGCATCTTTCGTCAATAAAATGTTCTCTTTTCTTTGCTCTAAAATAAATTTTTGAACCATTGTGAAAGGAAGTTGTACAGTAATCCTTCAGCGGCCATTTTGGTCCACGTTTGTACATTTACGGCAAAAGATCGTTACTTCGCGAGATATTTTAATTTTACTATATCGTGGATGATGGCATCGAATAGCTAAACATGCACTATACTATATCAGCTGCACTAAAATTGAATACTGCATCTTTTACTTGAAAAGTGACTAAAACTTACTAATGGATCTAATATAAAATCATCGCCAGAAACGTAATTTGTTAGAAGTGAGCTACTAAATTTCGTTTGTGCAAGATGTTACATTTGCCATAAATTTGTGAACGACGAAAACCGCGCCCGTTCGTTAAACCAATAAAATAGTATCTTTCGTGTGCTACGCTCTAAGAGTAAGGGGAAAAGAAGAAAAAATCATTGTGTGCTCTCTAAGTAATCGAATCTATTTGACGTGGCATTTCTACATTCGTATTATTATACTCGCCTGATGTGTCCAGAATGTATTTGCACGACCGTATAAAGTAGGTTAGAAGAAGAAGACAGTACAGGGTACATAAAAATGTTACATCTTTACTATCGGGGGAAGGATTCTAATCCTCTAGATCTGAATTTTAATTATATTTTCTAATCAAGAGATGCTGATAATGTAACCAATAAACTCCGTGTTAATAAACAGACAAATGATAACATAAATCACGTGTTCCATTCTAAATGTGAATATTACAAGGTTTAAATAATAGTATAACTTTCTCACTATTTTCTGTAACTAACAGATTGTGACCCCTGTGGTTTTTTTAACAAGTGAATAGAATATGATTACACAAAATATTCAGAGGCGTAGAATTCTTCCCAGATGGTCGAGTCGTAACATTTTCATACGCCCTGTATACGCGGGCCTGTAATAAGGTGCGAAACTTAAGGAAAATAACGTTCGCTACTTGTTAATCGTTCCCAAAGCTTGCCAGAACAACCGTAGATGCAGTAGTTACGCTATTGCACATAACATGATCATTGCAAGACCTTTGTATGCTTTCTGTCGTGCTTGTTATTTGAGTCCTTTTGTATCTAAACAACGCATGCTGATAGGATGAAAAATGAAAGAAGCGTGTATTGCGAAATCCATTACGCGATACGAGAATCGGATCGAGCCACGAGTCTCAACGATTGAAATTTATCAAAGACGTTCCATCGTAATCGTTATTTGTTTCTTCTGGTTTTCGATCGTATAATGGATTTAAACGACCCAAAAGTACGAGTCGTTCGTCGCAGAAAGCGTTACATTCCGTGTTACAGATTCTCTGTCGCGGAACCAAGCTGCTACGATTACTCGAAACACGACGATGAAAAAGGCAAAGTGTCGGCGAATTCGAATCAGAAACGGTACAATGTGGAAATTGGAAAGTGACGATTGTGTATTGCGTGTATTAAATATTCCTCCATCGACGAAATTCGAGCATTGCCTTTTATTCGGCCACGCGCTTGCGCGATCACGACGCCATTCGGAAGTTAATCGTTAAATTCGACGGCTCTCTGTCAAGCTGAATCGAAACACCGCGCGCAAAATTATTATTCGAATATCATTATGTCGCGCAAACCTTGTACTTGCCCGAATAAAATTAGGTCGCTGAGATTCGATAGGTCTTAGCGAATTAACATCGTGGCCGCAGAATCGTGTTCGTCATCGTCGCCGCCATTTTGGTTGCTTAAATTAATTCATCGATCACCTTGCTCTAACCCTCTGACTGTGAAAGGGAACTTCGCCTGTTTTCTATCTGTAAAATATTTAATAATAGTAATAGTTTCGAAATAATAAAATATTTACGAATGATAAATACAGTGTTTACTGCAACTGTAATAATTTGCTGGCGTCAAGTTTGTGGACGAAAAATGAATTATCAAACGATCTTGAATATATCTAAAGTTTCGAAAAGTATTTTAATTACCGAGGTCGAGGTTTCTCGTTGGTTTCGAAGTATAATAGTAGTCAAAGGGTTGATACCGCTATTAATAACGGTGAGGAACACGATTCTACGTAGTGGTTACTGATTAGATCGTCATGTACCTATATATTATTATCCGATCATGCTACGTACGACGATGAGATGAATGAAAGTGTAGAGTGTGCGTGTCTCTTGCTCTATGCAGCCAACGAACTAATGGAAAGATTCAAGGGTTTGTTAGTAAATCCACGCCGTTCTCCGAGGGCATCCAGTCGTCGTGCGAATACAAGTATTACGTTCGAAATAATTTTCTGCTTTCGGGAGAAAAGACTAATTTTCTTCAGGCGATCCCAAGCGTCTTGTACCATACTACTGTTTGTTTAAAAATGCACAACGATCAATCGCTGAACAGTCACGCATCTTAGAAACGGAACAATACTTATCTATAGGATGAACAATTTTCTGTAAAACGACGTTGTACGTGAAATGCATCGTTGCAATGAATTTTCTTGGCCGCGGAACCGCTCGAAACAGCCGTTTCACGCATCGAGACAGCCGTCTTAATCGTTCTTGACTCGCAAACGAATTGCTCTAACACGAGTAATCGCGTTCCGCGACCGCTCGAAACGATCGGGTCGAGTGGGGCAGTTCATGCACGAATCTAGCGTGCGAACTTGCCGTTCGTTTTAAAATTGAAAGCAGGAAATTATCCGTCAGAGATATCGATTCGTAGAAAAATACGTAGTAGGCATTTGCGAATAAATTTTAAGGTAAAATAAAAAAAAAGAATCGCTTATACCGACGACGACCGATGCAAAATTTCGCGTTAGCGTCGAAATTTTATTGATTAGCTATTTTTTATTGGTTAGCACAGTTATGCTAGCCACGCGAAAGTGATATGCAGTTAATAAAGTTATTAGGAAAAATACCGACCGCAGGCATTCTTAAATGTTACGTACGATCGATCGGTGGAAACATCTTCGACTATAATAATGGAACGTTTTTAATGTGGAACTTTCGTTTGTGCTGTTTTGGGTTCGAAAAAAAAAAAGAGGTTTTATAGTAAACGAAAGTTAATTCGCAGGTACCTAGTACTTGTAACATACCCAACGATAAGTGTATCCAGTTTGCAACGTGATCGATAAACTCCTAATCGACTCGACCAAGGGGTTGGTAATTAACGATCGAATCGGAGACTGTTTCAAATGTCTCGCCCTTGATTCTATTAATAACTCGAGCGAAATTAACCGAATGTCATGGAACCGTGGAGAAATTCGTGTGTTTCGAGCAGACACTGTGGAATTTATATAATGGAACAAAATGAATGTTACGTTAACCCTTTGCACCCCTATGTCGAGTGTGATTCGACATCAATTTTTATCTCAGGAGCCAAGTCCCACTCGACATTTTTTCAAGTCCAAACCAAAGAGATATCGTACACTTGAAAGTTAGAAAATGCAACAACAGTGTAAATAAAACAGATATTTTAACAGATAAATTTCAAATAAAACACTTAAAGGCGTTTGGGAGCTGCTGGTAACAAAATTTAAATATAATTCGGAGTGCAAAGGGTTAAAGATCGGTAAAACCACACGTTTAGTAAACCAGAGATTAACGATGGAAGCCATACTCATCGATGATAGTTTTTAGGGGTGATCAGAAAGATACAAATTAAGAGCCACGTAAATAGCCAATTATAACTCGAAGTAAAATAAATTATAACAACGAAGTTTGACATTCAATGGAGTCGTAAATAAAGAATAAGTTCCACAGTGCATGCTCGAGCTAATCGAACGAGGAGCTTCCCGAAAAGATGGAAGAAAACCACTCTGTTTAATAAGTAACGCGAATAAAGGAGATCGAGAACGGTCGTTAGAGATCTCATCGAGATTCGTCCGCGACATAGTAAATCTGCGAGATTGCTAACGTTACCCTTTACTTAACGTGCCACCGAACTGGATAGACTTTCTCGTGGCGGGAAACTATAGTACTCTACTTAGGATTAAGTGAAAGGGTGGCGCGGGCAAAGCTAAAAGCATCGTATTTCGCTTCTAACGCGATTGCCGTGAACAACGATGCCTGCGCCTTGACCTACAAAACTGCGAGTTTACACGCAAATGAAATTAGTGGACGAGCTACGTTGCGTCTAAAGCTTTGAATGAACTGGTATCGTGTCAATGGAAAAGTTGTGCTCTGTTGAAGGTGAACGGGGGGAGGTGGGAGGCAGTGCATACACCCAGTGGACTATATATATGAAAACCGTGCATCGGCCTTAGTACGAAAACAATGGCGGACAGACAAACGTTTAAGCTCAGGGTACGAAACGAGAGATCGCGATCTCGATCGGACCGTTGGTCGAAGCATTTGGATCGTAAAGTAAAAAATACAATAAAAAAAAAAGAAATAGTAATCGAATGAGAAACTAAGGTGTACATGAAAATCAAAGATGAAGTTGGTCCCCTCGGATACCAATTCTCTCGAACAGCCCATTGGTGTATGTAGTGCCGCCTAAGGAAGAACGTTAGTGATCGTAAATACCTTCGTAGTACAAAAGCAACACTCGAATTCGCTAGGTATTTCATCATTTTTCTCGAATTTTCTGCTGTCTTTTTTCTCTTCATCCTACAATGTCACACACACAATTTCCTATTTTACTTTACGTTAACACACGGCTCATCGGTCGGAAGCGATCGGATCATTTCGTTCTTTCGCGATCGACGTTTTCATTCTTTTTCCGTAATTCTCTCCTTTTCCCGCCGCGAATGCAAACCCCGTAACGCCCGGTAAATGAACTTCCGCGTTGCGTACGGTAGTTTCGCGTCGAATGTATATTAATAGTACGCGAGCGGAACTTTACGAACTAGGGCTCTTTCACTCCGACAAGAACTTGCGTTACCGTAAAGAGTGATGATTTATAATGGGCGCTCCGATGCGAAATAATTCGAGCGCTTCGCGAGCGAGCGAACATGTAATTAATCCTTTGAAGCACGCATTCAAGAAAAAAAAAAATAAATATCTTTCGTATAATACGTGATTATCGTTTCTCCAAAACCGATAAAAACCGCATCTCGAATAAAAGTTTTCGCAATGAACAATTTGTCGCGACGCGGTTTCGAAGCCTTACGGAAATTCATTTAAGTTTGTTCGACCTTTTAACATTCGTTGGTACGGAAAGGCTACGAAATTAATTCCAACCGCGTTCGAATAAATAACACTCGAATTCCCGCAAAGACTTTCTCCCCCGACCTTGTGTAATTTTGCGCAGAAAACGACTACCTTTGATCACGGTGCTTCAAAGGCTTAAACGAGGCAACGTATGATCACGTGGAGCCAGAGAGAGAAACTTCTCGTATCTAAGGGTGAAAAGGTAAATGTGTTAATTTGTTGAAGAAAAGGAAACGTGTAATGTGTAGATTCGTTCATAAATCGTGGTATTCGTGATTTTCTTACTCTAAGCGTGCGATGGTAGTTTCTAATGTATCTTCTAAGACTCGTCGTGACATAATTGGAACCAAGGAAAAGGAAAATATCTAAGCCAGGTTTATACTATACGATGCTACGTACCAAATGTTAATAACCAAACTTTGTTAATGTATTCTGTAAACGTAGGTTTTAAAGCTTTAGAAATATTCCTGTGAGGAAGTATAAGCTGTCATGGCCGCCAAGAATGAATCAGATTATGTTGTTAAACTCTGTCAAGGTTTGTATAAGATTTGTCATTAAAACTTATAGGTATTGACAAAGTTTGGCTATTAAAAGATGGGACACTCCGTTGCACGGTATAAACTCTGCTTCAACTTTGACAACGTGCAGTTAGAAACGTTCGTTTGTAATCGTCGATACCACTACTTATAAATTTGCGTCTATTGAACGATACGTGACGTGTGATAGAAAGTGTTTATCGAGGTATGTAAACCGAGTGACAGTGAAACGCATCGTAGTGGAAAAGAAATAAACTATTGTCGTGTGTGGACGGACGTCACAATTGCTTTTCGTTACTTAGGTCGAAGGTGTAATGAACGCACATAGTTTTCAAAGCGAACCGTAACACGAACCTGCTGTCCTGTATATGTCTCCACGAGTAACCCTTTCAGACCCGCTAAAAATTGCTCATGGAGATTGGAATCGTTCGTTAAAACGTTCCTACGTTAACATTTATCAATCGCTTCGGAGAAAAGGCTGAAAGGGCTAATATGAAAATTAATAAAATTCATTCAGCGTCTAAAAAGAAAACAAACGAAAACCCATTAGTATCGACGATCAGCTATCTACCGTGAAGTAGAAAAAAAAGCGTCCAAAGAATCCTCGAAGTCGTAACCGTCGAGAGTACGGATATTTCATTCCGTCGAACAGCAATTATAAGACGTCCCCCACTCTTATCGTTTAAATAATCGAAAGATTTCATCTCGTATAATCTCGCCCTCGAAGTCGGTCTAACTCGTATGCTCGTCGACGGACCAACTTCGAGGTTTCGTCGAATTAAGCAGATATATAATCCGTCGAATCATAAACCCTTTGATCGGATTCAAAATTGATTTTATTCGATTACAAGTAGAATTTTCTTTTTTATTTCCTAATATTAGAATGGACGTTTGACCGGCGTCGTATTACAATTAAACACGAGCCGAAGGATCATGCCAGACACGTGAACGACAAAAACTGCCAAAATGATCCACCGATACTCTACGTTTGATTATTCGATCCTTACAGCCGGATATTATTAATACGTAATACAATATATGTACATGTACAGGCAGTGGTTTCGAAACAATTTAATCACCGTTAAATCGTGACTATCTATCGAACATTATTGTATTATTGTATACGAGAATTACTAACGTTAATCGATCACCGAGTATGTTATAAATGTAAATCGTGTTTCTCAAATCGTCCGTCGTGTAATAAATTGAGCAGCAATATAACTTTCTGCGTATTATTTCTCAACATCTCCAGACACGTTCCGAGCGATATATACAATAATAATTAGTACTAATTAGCCTATGAAGAATGTCGCGGAAAGATTATGCGTTTTCTCTTTAAGGATCGTCTAATGTATCGCGAGAAACTGATAGATATTACGTGTTAGCCTCGTTGAGATATTTAGGAACTCGGAAACAGCGTTCCTCGAGCGAGATATCTGTTGTAGAGCCGGGACTATTCAAACAGTTTACTATTATCATTCAAATAAGAAAGAAATTTAGTTGTTAGTCCACGTAAATGGTTACTTGTACAGAAAAATTTGAAAAGAAATCAGTTTTACCGATTTTTCATAACCACCGTAACAAAGTGCAATTTTTTGTATTTACAGTATTTTTCGAGAAACGAAGGCGACGCGTTCGTTTATGTGATATGAAAGTGTGTGTCAGGACACATTCAACCATATGAAATACAGTGGTTTTCAAGGACTCTATTTACTAATATAGTTCACTAATATTACTGTATTTATTAATATAACACTTATCGATATACCTTATTGCACGATCGTTCAATGTGACTGGTTTTTTGTTATTATTGACTGTCAGGATATTTCTGTTACTAATAGTATTCGCAAAAGCCATCAAAAATGTATAGTGCTAAAAAATGCATTCTCGTACGAGGAAGTCACATTGATGATACTACGTAACCTTACAAATAAATCCTATATAGTAAATACAAGTTTAATTGTTTCTTTTTCTTTACTTTATACGAGCTTGAAGAACATTGCATAATACATGGTTGAATTAATGCGGTATTCCACTAAAAAAAAATTACGATCGTCCTCGTTTCTCGAAAAATATTGCAAACATAAAAACTTTTGTTCGACACACATTCGAACCGCCAAAGAAGACAAGTCCCAGCCCTAATTTGCAATTGATCGACGTGCACAGTTACTAAGACATCTATAACTTCGCATCGAGAGTCGGGTCTAAAACGAGAATGAGTGAGTCTTTAAACTAATCGACACTAAGGTGTGATGCAATTATCGGTGCGATTTATAAAATGCTAAAAGAAAGGTTCTTCATCGACAATATCATGTATGCACTACCGTTCAATTCGTCGTCACTCAATGGGATGATAATCGAGCTCAGCAGATCGTGACAGTGGAAAAAACGAATGCATAACGTGCACGAAAGCGAGACGCTCTCGGGTGTTCTCGTTTCATTTTCTTTTCTTTTTTTTTTTTTCTTTTTGTTTGTTTGCTCTAGCCGAGTAAAATGTACGGTCTACAATCATACAAATTAGTCGTACGTGATTAAGAAGCGATCGAGCAACGAAGCAACTAATCCAGAGCACGGGTACGCCTCTGGCTACAGCTCGCGTTTCGAATGCACCGTCGAATGCGCAGCATGATCAAAATTACTGCTGCCAACAAGTCAACAAACTTCCTGATCAACTCAACCCTTTCGCTCGCGGTTCCTCGATTCAAAATTTAATAATTATTATTCCCTCGATTTAAGATAACTGTCAAGTTTGCATATTTTTTTATTCAAATTCTAATTTCCAGAGAAACTATACAGTTTGTTTACGAACGATATCGAAGATATTTAATGTTGCAATGTTAATAAAATTATTAGTTTGTATCTTGTACGATCATTTTTATCGTTGAATTTGAAATGAGTGAAAGGGTTGAGAAAGATGGCGGCGTACTGCGAGACAACGCGTCTTCCAGCCGCAAGTGTCGGAACGAAGAACGCGTCTCGAACAGAAATAGGCACAGATGACAGAGGAAAGTAAAAAACATCGAAGCGACATGGCACGATGGAAATTAGAGAGAAATGAATAACAGTGAACGAAATAGACGAGCGTTACGAGAAGTTACGGGCGATATAATAAATCGGTGTCTCTCGATAGTCGAATCGATTTCTCGGATCGAGGACGGCAAGGTCCGACGTCGATGTACCCCCGCGGTTCACACACCCCGGATTATCGTCCACCACGTATTCTCTTTCTCGTCCTACGCACATCGTCGTTCTCGTTTTGTCGTTGCCTTTCTCGTGGCCGTCCATCACTACGAAAACTTGGAATGGCGGATTCTATCATGTCGGACGTTGCCAGGAAAGGTCGGCAAACCTCTTTATCGAACGCGCGACATTTTAACGGGAAGATTTCCCCCCGCGTTCGCGAGTACTCGTTTCGCGTGCGAAACGAGCGTTTGGCATGCACCACTCTCGAGCATCACTTCCGGGGGAAACGTTAAAACCCTCCCCGGTATCGAGGGGATCGAACCGATCGAGGACGTTTATCGTGGAGTCTCGTCAAATTTCGATCCTCTTTCTCGCTTTGTTATCTTTTTATTTTCTACCGAAACAGCGAAAGAGAACGAGATTCGGCAAGGTCCGACAGTAGCAGGTTAATTCGTGTGTGTGTGACGAATGTTTCGGCGGCTTTGTTCAACGATGGTGGTTCAATGCGCGCTGTCGGACATTGCCTGTAACACACCGACATGAAATCCGTCAGAAAATTACCGCCAAATGTGAAAGAATGAATACTGAAGAACGTATTTATTTTGGGGGGGTTGGGTATTCTCGAGCAAAGAACTCGCTGCTGCCTGCAATAATTTTTCACGATTTTACAGTCGAATCGGAGCTGCCTCCTCGTCGCGTTTCGCCTGATTTCAAATTTTCGTTCTCTGCGTCCCGTAA